AATTTTTCACCACCACTACATGCACCCACCACCCTGCATTTTTTTTTTGGGTACATTGGAAAATAAAACAAGGGTTATTTAAACCCTCTAGCAAAAGAAATACAAGAGAGATCATTCAAAAGAAGCTGACCCAACACAAACGGCGGGCTTTCAAAAAACACAAGAGGATCTTGTTGATGGCCTCCCAGACTTGCCATCTTATCAGCACAAAAATCTCCTTCTCTCAAAGTATGGAGAATGAGAGTATTAGTCAGTCCCACAATGTACTTGCAATTAGCGATGATATTCCTTTGGGGATGAACATCTTTCAACTTAGCAGTAATTAGGTTGAGTGCTTCCAAAGAATATGTTTCCATGATCACCTTCTTCAGGTTTTGTGATTGAATTATCCTAAGGCCTTGTAGGATAGCCCATAGCTCAGCTTGTAAGCTAGTAGAGTCCTTAAGCTTCCCAAAGAAGCTTAGCTGCCACCTTCCTTGGTCATTCCTTAGCAGCCCTCCAACTGACATTGGGCCAGGATTCCCTTTGGAGTTGTCATCAACGTTCATTTTCATCCAACCTATAGGAGGAAAAGCCCAATTAACAAGTTTGGGAGGATTGAAAGTTTCCTAAGATAAGGGTTCATTGAAAGCGTCCCATGATCCCGAGCCATACTCTAAGCTTTCTTTGCAATAAGATGGGGGGGATTCTTTATGTTATCCAAGCATTCTTGGTTTTTGTCTTTCCAAATATTCCATAATAGGGAAGCAAAAAGAATAGGTCATTTCACACCTCTCCAAAAAATGTCCTTTCTAACTTTATAGTTTTCAATGAGCCAATTTTGAAGGTCCAAGGATTGATTTTGTTGGAGGTCATTTATGTTTAGAAAAGATCTCCAAACAAGATCAGCCTTGGATAGTCCCTCAAAATATGGATTGTATTTTCATTAACAACTTTGCATCTCACACATACAAGATCATCAGTAAGATTCCTTGCAAGCCTTAGGGAGTTAGAGAAGAGTCTATCACTTTGAACCAATCACATAAAATGCTTAATTTTCTGTGGGACCCTGCTTCCAGTATAAGACACCATGATGACTACGGTCAGATTCAAAAATCCAATTATAAGCACATTTAATAGAAAATTTTCCATTACATGTAAGACCCCAAGATGGTGAATCTTTATGAGAGCCTTCCAATGACAGTGGTGAGTGAATGAGGTCAGAAATAACATTTGAGGGAAGACACATACCTACTTTCTGGATATTCCAGTTACCTGTAGAGGTTATGAGACCAGCCACTGTGTTATTGGGGTTAGTTGTTCCTGGGATCAGCATCCCTCTTTAGAGTGAGCTTTCACCATTCCACCAATCATTCCATAGCGAAACCTTTGAACCATTTCCAATAAGCCATTTTGTGTTCTCTTTTACAGTTTGGGAAGTTTTTAACAAAGCTCTCCATATTGGAGATGCATTGGATTTATGTGGCCAGTCTTTCAAAGGTGGATTCATATACTTTTTATTAACCATATCAACCCATAAGGATTTAATCTCCGTATAAAATTTCCAACCCAATTTAGACAAGATAGCTAAATTGTTATCTCTACGTTTCCTCAAACCCAAACCCTCTGCCTCCTTGGTGGAGCAGACAGTATCTCAGTTAATCAAATGAACTTTTTTCCTCTCCTTAGTGTCCCCCCCAAAGGAAGTTTCTATTTAATATGTCAATTTTCTCACAATTGGATTGGGTTAACCAAGAGGTTTGCATAATATGGCTTGAAATTGCAGAAGTAACATCTTGAACAAGAGTATTTTTCCAGCAAATGAGAGATTTTTAATTTTCCAGCCACTCAGTTTTGTTTGAATATTTTCAATCACTGAGATGTAGTGATCCTTACTAACTCTCCTATGGATGATGGGGATGCCTAGATACTTCCCTATGTCATCAGTACATGTGATCCCACCCTGTTTTTGACCACTACTATTGTCACCCTTCCAATCTGATTCATGTAGTGTGATTAAATTTGTATTTGTGATGGATTGAGATTGGTTAGAATTAGATCTTGATGGGTGATATAACTCAGTTAATGGGTCATGGAGGTTTTAATTTATGGTTTCAATTAGCATTAGATTCAAGTTCATGGGATTTAGCAGTGGGTTCGTGATGGGGTAGTGATTTGCAAACTTGGGGGGGGGGGAAAGGGTTATGGTGCTAGTATGTTTTGGTAAACATTGTTTGAAGTTCACTTGTTTGACTGTCCTCAAGTTCAAATTCGATTTGGAGTATACAAAATCAATGGCTTGCTTGAGGTTAGATCATTAATTTGGGGCTTTGTTTGATAAATTAAATAACCTTATGTGACATCAGAGTTGTAATGGGGAAGACCAACGCTTTGGGTTTATGGCCATGGTGGTTTTGCAGATAGAAGGTTGAATTTATTATCAAAACACAGTTGTTTTGAAATTTTAATATTAAAATACGATTTTTTTGAACTTATTTACCAAACTACGACACTTTTTAAAAGCAGAGTCAATAATTCCGCTTTTTATTAAAAAACATATTCAACAATATTTAAAAACGGGATCAATGATCTCATTTTTAAATAAAAAATGTGGTCCAAAATAATGAGCTAAAACACGTTAAAAGCGCGATTAGTAACCACGCTTTTCACGTGTTTCAACTGGTGTGAAGGTCTTCTGCACTTGTTGGTATTTTCTGGGTAAACCTTTTGCACTTCGAGGGCCAATAACTCCAAATCATCTCTATCTTTCCTTATTCATTGCCAAAACCCATCTCTAAAAACCCTCAAAATATTTTAAAACCAACCATGATTTGATCGATCAACACCCTCACAAATAGGTTTACCCAGAAAACCCTTTTGCCTCTTCTTTCTTTTTCTGGTCCTGTTCACCAACCTTGAGATGATCCAACAGCTGAATCTATTTTGAGACTTACATATTTATCAAATCTTATACAAGGGACCTGGGATCCACTCCCCTAAGAAACAACTTTGCCCGCTTTCCACACATATTTCTCATCTCATTAAACTTCTAAAAATAGAAGGAGAATTTTTTTTTTTTGAATGAATATGGTCATATAATCTTTGCTATAACGTGGCAAAATTCAAATTTTTTTTCTTGTAAGAGAGAATCTACCAAAGAGTTTTCTATTGACCCAACAGCTCTGGTTCTCAACAATGATACATGTGAATATGTCAGGCGAAAGAGTGTGAAAATCGTGTTTACAAAACATGCTTTTCTCATTGCGCAAATTTTTTTTTTCCTAAAAGCGGGGTTGTTGAATCCGCTTTTTAACAATAGCGGAGTTGTTGAATCTACTTTTTAACAAAAATAGAGTTATTGAATCCACTTTTAAAAAGTGTCGTAGTTTGATAAACGAGTTCAAAAATACCGAATTTTAGTATTAAAATTCCAAAACAATTGCGTTTTGGTAATAGATTCCTAGAAGGTTGGACTATTGTATGAGAGAGAGGGGGAAGGCGAGTTAGGGATGGGTTTCGTGAGGAAGAAATAAGGGTAAAATTAACATTTAACTAAAATAGAGGTTTGACATCAGAACTCTTTAAATTGTCAGTAACTAAGACCATTTCCAATGAAACTCAAAGTCTTATCTAAATTTGAAGAAAAAAAAAAGATAAATAGCTTAATTTGGTATAAGCTTCTCCAATGAAAAAAATTTAAATTTAAAGGAAAATAAATTCAAATTCAAATAAAGACAAATCTACATTTAAAAGAGGGTACAATATGATCATTAGATCTTTAAAGGAGGGTGTAATCTCATTATTAAAAAATTGAGAATTAATTTGAGTCTTTTCTTTGATTTGAGTAAAAAAATAATTTTTTTTTAATTTGATATAATTATGAATCTAGTATTTGAAGGTTTTTATGAGTGTTTTACTTAAATTTAAATATGGATTTAAAAAAAAATAATGATCGAAGATACTTTGACGGTTGTTTACTACAAGGGGTGTTACAAGGGGTGTAAGTGGAGTAGAGATATGAACTAAAATTGAGTGCAATAAAATTTCAAAAAAAAACACCTATCTACAAGAAGTATGAATGAAATCTACACAAATTATAATTGTATCAACTAAGTCAATCGGTGCCATAGTCCAAGTGTAAGACTAGGGATTAACATGCTCTTCATCACTCTTTTCTTTAATTTTATTTAATATTAGATTATTTATCATTAATACAAATATTACCCATAATTTATAAGTGAGTCTCACATTTTATACACAATATTAAATAAAAAAAGGTTAATTACATCGGAAGTCCTCAAAGTATAGAATTGTGTTATTTTAGTTCCCAATATTTCAATTGTATCATTTTTGTCCTTAAAGTATTGAATATGTTTCTATGTGATTCTTAAAGTAAACAACATCTAAATTGTTAATAATTTTTTATCATAAATTTATCACGTGATACATAAAATATGGACAATAAATAATTTGAGTAGCTCTTGACAAAAAATATGTAATATGTGTAGCTCTTGACCAAAGTTTGAATAGTTCATGATCAAAATTATATAATTTTGGTAACTCTTTGATAAAAATTGTTAAAAATCTGGTCTGAAGTTATCCAAATTATTATTTTTATCCATATTTAAGTATTTCATGACAAATGTATAATAAAAAATAGTTAGTAATCTGATCGCCATATGCTTGAGGACCACATAAAAATATATTGAATATTTCAAGAACTAAAATGATATAATTAAAATATTAAAAATCAAAATAAAATAAATTTTATACTTTAGGGGTAGATATAGATATAAGAGTAGAAGGCCCACATTAGCCACACATTATGACCCGAAAATTATTGAGGAGACATGGTCGCATTAGCAAACTGTTGACTCAGCTCAACGACGCGTTCACCGTTCACTTCAGACACTTCGACACCACCCCATTCTCATGCTCTGTTTTTTACTGTAACCACTGCTCTCTCTCTCTCTCTCTCTCTCTCTCTCTCTCTGTGCGCGCTCGCGCTCTGCTGTGGAGCAATGTCGAACTTCTCGCATCAGATGAGGCTCTCGTCTTCTCTGATCAAACGGTTACGGCAAAGTTTTGGCGCTGTAAATACAAGATCTTTTACCACAACTGAAGGCCACCGTCCCACTATAGTCCACAAGCGTAGTCAGGACATTCTTCACGATCCATGGTTCAACAAGGTTATTTTCAATTTCAATTTCCACTTCAATTTGATATATTGGGTTTGAATTTCATTGTGGTATTATAAACTTCAACTTGAATTTTGGAGTTCAGATCCTTGTTCTAAGTTGTAGTTTGATCTGTTTATGAGCCTGATTTGGTTTGTTTGAGGATCTTCAACCTTGACTCAAATTGATTTGATATAAAGCACTCTATTGGAGAAACTCAAAGTTAACAGAGGATGAATCTAAATTTAAATGAAGTCAAACTTCAAATTTAGAATAGGATAGCATATGGTCATTAGGTCTTAACCATTGGTCTTTTTACCATTGGTGATTTGAGTAAAAAGAGTTGAATCTTCCTTAATTTGAGAAAAGGTTTGAGTCTCCATGATTTGGTATGAGTTTGGGTATAACTTTAGAGAAGGTTTTCTGGGATTGTTTACCCAAATTTAAATTTGAGTTTAAGAAAAAGTAAGGTTGGAGATACTCTAATGTAGGATGTTTTGAGTATTATTTTGATCCGTTTACGGAGCATGATTTGCGGTGATGGAGTCTGGAATTTATTCTTGGTTGCATATAAGCTTTAATTTGTTGAAGATAACATTTTATGCTTATTTACATAGTGGCCAATTGTAGAAAAATAAAGATTTATCACCAGGCCAATTTTAAGCAATTGCATGTTCCAATTAGGAACAAAAAATAAAAAATTAATAATAAATATGCAAGTTAAGGCCAACTTTTACAAAGTTCTAACACAGTAAAAAGGATTATGTAATTATAGGCCAGTTGCGACTTATATTGTCAGAAAAGTAGTACTAAAGCTAGGCAACAAGCTAAGCAAGGAAAAGAATCATGGTAAAGGGCTGTGAGATAGTGAAAATGGCAGTACCATCGCCGTCTCACAACCTCAAATAAATTCAGGCCATAGCTTGTTGGCGGTTCGCCTGTTCAGTATGCCCAAAGTGAGAGAGTGAGCACAATGAAATGTATATGTGTATCAGTATATAACCTTTTAAAAAGATTTGAAGGTGGGTGAAGGACCGCTGTCTCAACGAGGGCCCTGCTCTTGATCATTTAAGTTGTGTAATTATCACTTAAGTCAAAAGATTCTTTCATTGTCTATATAGGTATGTGTGTGCGAGTGAAAATGGCAATTTCTCATGTCTTGGTTACGAAGTATTATGGTATTGGATTGCGAGCTTGTAGATTGTTGTTTATGCCTCTAACTTTGATTAGTTTGGTTTATATCTATCAAATTATTAAGAAGGACTTTTTTTTGGGTAAGTTAACATAGACTAATTTGATGTTGTTCATTTCTGTGAAAGTAGAGTAAAATCCACTATTCTAGGGGGAAACAGGTGGGCAAATTCTGCTTGCATGCAAGATACAATGAACCAATCAATCAAGTGTAATCTGCCTCTAGTTTCGTGTGTATGTATAGAACCAATGACTCTGGAAAACGAAAAAGAAAAGCAAAATCATCATCTAATATTTTATCCCATACAACCAGGAACTAAACTCCTTAAATGGACATCCTATATCTCCCATTTCAAGTGAATCCCATGAAATCCAAAAGGGCCACCTCCCACACCCTCCATTTCCATCAGCGCACCCATGCTGCGGGCATCATTTAGATAATCTTAGGGAAAACTTGGCTACTTTACCAGAAAGTAATATACGTCATACATATCTCGTATCATGCTCACAGCTTCTGTTTTTCTTGATTTTTTTTAATCACACAATGAGTAAAATGGACAAAATTGACTATTATTTTTTAATCAACAAATACTAGGGAACAGCATTCTCCATGACAGAACGTGATCGCCTTGATCTTCGCGGGCTTCTGCCTCCAAATGTTATGTCTCCTGAACAGCAAATTGATCGCTTCAGTAAGTTTCCACCCCCTTGCTCATTAGGCTTCATGAGTTTTGCTTTGGTTTGATGTCGAAAATACCAAAAAAGGATCCAAGTGTTATCTTATATAATGTGAAGACTTTATGCATCTTTCCTAATGAGATTCTTGGTTATTATTTTATTCACTTTTAAAGTTTATTGAATGTTAATACATTTTTGGAAAATATGTATTTTCTAGATCCTATGACAGCCAATGAAATCCATATAATAAATTAGCTAGCAACTTGAATCTTTATCCTATACATATTTTTTCCTCTCAAAATTATCATATCATCCAATTTTATCACATGTTCAATCATTTAATATTTGATTAATTTATAGTTTAACATAACTTTTATTTTTTACATTATCTTTCCTAATGGACACATGTTGAGAAAATTTTGTTGTGTTATGTATTTTGAGAAAATTTTAACGCTATTTTAATAGGTCAAAATTAATTTTAAATAATGTAATTAAAGAAACGAAGAAATAAAAAATTATTATTTAGTATAGTGGAATCAATTTTTTAAACGTTCAAATTTTATGTTTCATCGTACTTTTAGGCACGGGTTATGACTAGTTTTCTTATATAACCATTAAAATCTCTTTCGAGGAACATTTTTTCTAATAAGTATTTCTAACATTAACCCATCCATATGTTCCTATCAGTTTTAATGCATTCACCTAATCCTACTTGGAGTGCTTGAGCACTAACAATATTGATTATATCTCCTCCCATTGCAATTTATATTGGTCTCTATGTTTTTCCTAATAACAGTTTATACTTCCTGTTTAAGGTTCTGACTCACCTCTATTCCAACTCGATTTTCTATGGATTGTTTTTTCTTGCGTAACGTATAACTTGTATTTTCTTCTCGCCTACTCATCTATATGCTATAATAGCCAAAAAAAATTTCTAATCATAGTTTCAGTTGACTCCATTCCTTTATGTCTTAGTATTCCTATATCCTAAATCACCAATCAAAATGTAGTATCATAGACTAGCTTTTTTACCTGCACTGGTCCAGGGCAACTTAGGAACCTTTGTCCATTTTCACTGAATACTACATTTTTTTTTGCTTGATCAGTGTCTTTTTTCTGCATTTAGTTTTCTTGTGCTTTTCAGAGCTCCTTTATATTTTACTATGGAGAGAGTAATTGCCTGCAGATTTTGGAAATGATTTTTGTAGAATATGACATTTGCAGTAACAATTCTAGAAATGGTCTTAAGTTTCTTAGTTGTCATTGTTATTTTTCTTATTTTTTTTTCTCAAACAATAGTGGCTGACCTGAAGAGGCTTAAAGTGAATGCAAGAGATGGACCATCTGATCCATATGCTTTGGCCACGTGGCGGATACTTAATCGTTTGCATGACAGAAATGAGACCATGTACTATAAGGTGAGTCAATAAATTAATCATTTTGTTTAGTTTGTATGATCTTTGTGCAACTGACTATAAATTTAAGCTTAGTCTTTTCCCTCAATGGTAATTGCAAATATGTGGTAGAATTTGATGGGTATATTAGTTGATGATTGATGTTGTAGGTTATTGGATGGTTCCGAATCCATGAGATGGCCAAAGGACAATAGTAAGGATTGGTAACTGTAGTATGACAATTGCAAAAATTGTATCAGCCTTTTCTGGCTGTTGCTAAAGAGAAAGGAAGTATAATTATTATAGGAAAACCCTATGTTTGCTCTTTGCAATGCTTCTTTCTCAACCATGTTATCATATTTAGTTTTGGAGGTATTTGTCTTCAACCTCAAAAGTTTAGCAGCCTGATCAGTTCAAGTAAACAAGCTGTAAAATGGAGGCGACGAATTATAGGATTAGTTCAATTCCTTAAGGTTATAGGTGCTACTTGATCAATCTCATTTTTTTTTGGGTATATTATGTTCCAATAGGATCTTTAAAGGCTTTTAATACCTCTTTAAGATATACACATACAGCATTCTCATTCCTTTTACTTCATTTTTTTTTCTTTTTTTTTCACTTACTTTCATATTGATCCAAAAGTTATTCCCAAAGAAAGAGAAGTTAAGCTTTCTCTTAATGTAAGGACAATATGAATATCTGTTATTTATTTCCAACTTGCTATTGGCAAAGAATTCTTTTGGACCTATCGATGAAGGGGTTGAAGAAGTCTAGTAGTTGAATGGCTGGAGTGGTTATTTTGCATGTAGTTCTTATATAGGCTCTGGTTTCCTTGGCATTGTTTTTTAATGTATTTTTTTTAAGAGAAAAAGGTTTGGGAACCTTATTGTTTAGAGGATACATTTATTTACCTTGTTAAATTCCTGAATATAGGTGACTGTTTCAATTACATACCACTTCATAATGACATCAACTCCACCACTGTTTCCTTACCACCAAATGCATCTGTAATGGTTTGCGTATGCAAGTTAGCATTGTTTTTCTCTAGATCGATATGGGCATCATCATGTGTTCCATTTGATGTTTAAACATAGTCCCAAAACATCTGTAATGACATGAAATCTGTTGCACAAATTGAAAACTAGCCAACTCTTGCTTACATATTTAGTAAAGTATCTTCAAATATAATAGTCAAGTACTTTATTACGTGGAAGTGGAACTACTGCGGATCGCCCAGGCATGTAATGTGTAATGGCCCGCCTCACACCAACACGTCGTGTGAAAAACACAGCGCAACATATAATAACTTGGCCCGAACCCGCATAAAATGACTAGTGTTTAGCTAACAAGCTCAAACAAATATATATTAAACACAGCTAACGAACTTCAGACTTATAGGCAATATTTTATCTCATACACCTACATATCGCTTATTACAATTTACATGCTTAGCTTAAACAAACTAAGTCAAACTAAACACAATAGGTTGATCAAGTTAGGCTCTACATTCACGTGACTCTGGTCAATCTGAAAAAGAGGGAAATAAAGTAGTGTGTGCTTCAACAACTCATAGGATAGCTCTATTGCAAAGCACACGAATTTGAAAGTAAGTAATTTGACATGATTGGACATCAAAGAAGCAGTTATTTGATACATACTTAACTAAAACAATGTCATTTCATGTGAAACATTAGCAATTATATAAAATAGTAACGTAACATAGAGTTTAAGAGTTCGGATACAGTGTCTCACCAGAGAGCATCGACTTATAGACCACTCAAGGTCGATACGAACTATACGATTCAACCTTTTATGGGAATTGCACCCCAAGGAAGACCAACTGTTTTGGAACTATACACTATCTAATCAAAATTTATCACCCAAGTTCAGAGACCAACTGGACCGCACATGCATTTACGAACTCAATGAAACCTTATACGATTTCAACCTGGAATGTAAACCCACTGTAAGTCAATCCTGTGTACACTTATGTTCATTCAAAAGGATCCCGAAGTTTTAGTTTCATACGATCAATACGAACCACAGCGCAAATCGCACATCAAAACCCTAATTGGGTCCGGAGTTCCAAAACATGGTGAACCAACCCATCATAATTCATATAATATGTTAAACAATGTAAATAACATATTTGATAGGTTTGAAAGGAGCTCAAAAAATTTCGCCAGTTCCAACATTGAGAAATCCTAACTCAACTTTTGTGTCAATCCAAAACTGCTAAAAATAAAACAATGATGAAACTTCACACATAAGTTCATTTTAACTATTTAAAAGTGAATGTAAAATTGGTTTGGTCAAAATTCCCTAAAAACTAGGTCAAATTGGACTTCAAGGGCGGAACAGACATTTCACACCTTGTTTTTGTCAGAACCTCAGATCGCGAAACGGACACTACCGGGACCTCCCTTGGGATACCCTAGCCACCCCACGCGCGTCGTAGGGTGGGGCCCCCCCCCCCCCCACCCTTTCCTTTTCTTCTTCCTTGGTCTCTTCATCATGTTGCCCTAGTTTCAGATTTTCCAGTCTACCCAGCCTACTTTGACCCTCTCTTTCTCACGCCACACACCACATTTCCCCTTCATTCCAAAGCCCACTTACTCCCCTCACATCCTAGTTTACATTCCCATAAACCACCCCCTTCAAATCCCCCTTAATCTCCACCAAATTAAGGTCAAAGTAGGTAAGAAAGTTTGTTCAAAATTGTTGACCAGATTTGCAACTTCAATTTTAACCCATAAAGTGACCTCAAAACTTGAATTCAAGGTTGTATTTTGATTTCTTGACCCCAAATTAGCTAGACCCAAGTCACTTTTCAAAGTTTAAACAAGTTTTAAGCAAGATCAAAATTCAAGATTTGAAACCCTTGGGGGTTTCTTCGTTCCACCTCCACACACCACGACCACCTTCCAAAACACTCCCAAGGAACTCTAAATCCAACCAAGAACATGAATAACAAGTCTAATTTGGAAGCAAAACATGCTAGGTATGCAACCCATTTAAAACTACAAAACCCACTTTCTTTTTTAAACACAAATTCTTTGCTACACACTCACTCGAGCTTACTCCTAAGTTTACCAATGGATACTGGAGATTGAAAGGAAGAGTTTGGTATAGGCCTTGTTGCTCGAAAAGCTATGTATCTCAAACCCGAAAATCCTTCTTTCTCTCTCTTCTTTGCGTTCTCTCCAGAGCATAATGCTTCCTCCAAAGGCCACCTTGAAGGTAATCATTACACTTCATGTGCCCAATTCACCGGGGCTTGCCATTTTGCACCATGTGATGGTGCTTGGTGAGGGGTAATTCTATAATTTCTTAAAATTTTGAATTTTAAATTTTTTTAAAATATTCAAACACATTAATTAATTCACTCTTAATCCTCTAATTTCATCATGTAACACTTCTACCCCCACCAATTAAATTCCACCAAGTGGATCCAAACCCTCTAATTGTCTGGAATCGCACTAACCCTAGTTTGTCTGAACTCTCATTTCGGCTCAATTCCTTCCACCGAACCACACTCATCCTTGCACTTTGGGTCCCACCACTACATTGAACACCCACGCATTCTGAGTCCATTCTCAATTGGCTCGGTCCCTGCGCTCAACCCTCATAGTCTCGGTCATCACAAATATGCTCTGCACCTTAACATAAAAGTTGTTTCTTCTTGTTGACTATTTGTCACGAGTTCATGAACTTATTATGAGCCTAGTTAATGAAATCTCTTTCAGCAAGGGTGGTTCAATTGTTAAGCTTAGTTTTTGGTAACTCAAAGGTTTCAGGTTCAATCATTTTCCACACCTACGAGCTCCCCACCCTTGTTCCGCAAGGACGTGCTCTAACCAGTTCAAGCCACGGTGGCAGCCGTTGAGTCGACGGAATAATCGGTGCAAATTTGACCACCTTGTAGCAAAAAAAAAAAAATCTCTTTCAGCACAATAGTAAACTTAAGCATGTTGCTTAAAGCTGATGTAATGAGAATAAGTTATTCTCCCCATGATAAGTGATTTGCCCCTCAAACTTTGTCATACAAACCTAGGAAAATAAACATGGGTCGATCTACATACGTCGTGGAGAAACAAACGGAATCCGGACGAGAATAATCTTATAAGTTGCTTTGCTTTTAAGAGAAGGCTCGGGTGGGATTTCGTATAGTTCAGTTTTGATTATGGCGAAGTATATTCATGAGTCAATGATATTTTGCTAATGCCCAGATCTTGTGGACACAATCCACAATAGTGGTCCATTGGTGTCAAATTGACAATGACTGCTTGTTTGATTTTCATGTCAATATAGCACTGGTTCAGTTCTAGTCATACTATGTTTTTGGGGCCATCCGCATTTCCCAAATGTCTATTGGTTGTGGACACAGGCTTTATGGTCCATGGGGGTCATTTGCATGAGTTGTTAAACCTGTGCTTTTTCGTTTTATGCTTCGATCTAAAATATTATATAGTCCTTGTGGAGTTGTTTGTGTCTTACTCTGTTAAGCTTTCAACTCGGTTTTCAATAAAAGTCAATTAGCTAGTGTAAAAACTATACTCAAACCCCAGAAGTCACTAGTTTGACATCACCTTGACCCAAGTCTGCATCGGTTCTGCTACTACCCTCCCAACGATGGCAAATGCTGCCTCATCTTCCATCAGCCAAACAGAACTCCTTGCTATCCCATTACATCTAGTTCTTCCTTTGCCTTGCTCTGAATCTGAATGTTTGGGCATAAACAGAGAACATATTCTTTGTCACGCGTCATCATATGCATTTCTGGTTCATTAATGCTTTTATTGATTAGTTTTACTATTTTTCACATGTACTTCTAGCAGCCACTTTCAACATTGCATGACTATTCTTGTCATTCTCAATTTTTTTGTTCGGTGAACTTGGAATATCTAATCCTACAAAATCATTCCATTTGAAGGAATGAATATGGATTATAATGGAGCAATTAGTAATCATGTGGAGCATCTGGAGGACGAGTAGGGGATTTTTTTAGGAGATTGGGGTTCCTACATATGGATTTAAAAAAATTTGTTGGAGTCCTTCAGTTTTGGGCCTTTTGGTGGATGGGGTGATGGATAAAGTCGATTTTCTCTCATATATTTTATTGCTGACCTGAGTTTTGTATAGGCAGCAGTTCTTTTGTCTTTTATAATTTTGTTTTCTATTGGTTGGGTTTCCTTTTGTGCCCGTATTACCTTTTGGACATGCATTCGTGTTTACATATTAGAGAAAAGAAAAAAAGTTTAGTTGATTGTTTGTTCAACAAACTTCGTATTCTATCATTTTTGACAGGTCTTAATTGCCAATATTGAGGAATATGCACCTATAGTTTACACGCCTACAGTTGGTCTCGTTTGCCAAAACTATAGTGGATTATTTAGAAGGCCAAGGGGGATGTATTTCAGTGCTGAAGATCGTGGAGAAATGATGTCTATGGTTTATAATTGGCCAGCTGAGCAGGTATGTAATGCTTGTGGAACATTTTAACTGACTGTAGGGCTTATGTAGACATATGGGTTGATGCTTCTTGTGAAATTGAAGCTGATGCTACTTGTTTGCAAGAACAATGCATTAGTTTTATCTTGTCAAAAAATAAAAGCATTTTTCCTAATTTTACAAACTTTTGCTAAAATCTGTATATACTCTTCTCCTTTTCTGATCGGTGCTTGATTGGATTCGTTTTCAGGTTGTTTTATCTATTTCATGAGGTTTTTCCAGCATGTGGCATGAATTCTTATTAAAAGATAGTCATTATAAAACTTATTATTTCTATGAAGATGAACTTGATTTATCCAGTATTGTTCACCTATTTTAGTATTACTAGTTTTATGGGAATATCATCATAAAATTTCACTAATAGCATGTGTAAACATCAGAAATGGGTACTGTGATGAATTCTTTAGCAACCTATTCCTGCCATCTTCGTGTTGGTTGAGGTCTTAAGGGTAAATATGAATCCTTGGCCTTCGTGTCTTCAATTCTGGACAAAAACTGTTGTGCAGTCATGCAACCCTCGACTTGTGTGCGTACTGGATGCAATTTAAAAGGCTTCATTGAAGCTATAGGCCTCGGTATTACTTGTCCACCCAGTGTTCTATGTGGGAAAGCAGATTGTATTGGGGTTGATAAAGGATCCAGTTTGTGGGCTTTGTCAGCTGATTTGTTGCTGATGCTAGGTCCTCCTTACCAACTTCTGACTAGTGCGTAATGCTTTTTCCGGATCTATCAAAGCAACCTGTAGTGTCCCAATGTCAAAGTATCTATCTCTCTACGTTAATAATAGGATGCTAATAATTGTGGAAGTGGGACAATTCACTTCTTGTGAAAATCTCCCTGCCTTTGTCCTGGAACTTGCTGTAGTTCACTCTCTGTTGTTTACGTGACAGCAACAAGTAACTTTGTTGTATATGCTTGAAACTGAGATTCTTAGATATCATAAAAATTTAGTCGAGGCGTTTGGACTTTCAATAGTGATGAGATTCGGTGAGATTTTTGGAGTTTGTGGCGGTGGAGGAGTGTTGCTGGTGGGAAGCGGTTAGGATTTTGTATCTCTACTGGTTCTTGGGACTTTGAGCAATAATTATGCTTTTTTTTTTTTTTTTTTGTGATCTTCTCTGCATATTGTTGCTTCTTATGAAAAGAAAAAGTGAAAATCTTTGTTTTCTTGATTTGTTTGCCAGCGCCCGAAGTTGTACTCTTTCAGTGTGTACCTTCTCAATGGCATTTGCAAAGTTTGGGAGTCGAATTTGGGGGAGTGTTCTGACTTTGTTGTACAACTTGTGGCACGGGCAGAGTTAGGTGGCGAATTTCTAATTAACCTAGGAGTTTTTATGATGAGGTTCTATTCATTAAGGAAATGGGCAATTAAATGGCTGCCTGATTAACGAATGTCTTATTCTCATCAGTGTACTGATAAATCAGGTGCTTTGAACTATTTCACATCTGCTGTTATTTCAGCTCATTTTTAGTTTCACGAGACAAATTAGGAACTGACATCTGCGTTTTAATGGTTGTTCAGGGTAGGGCTTAGGGTTTTTCAGGTTTGTGCTTATGCTAGAATGCAATAAATCTTGTGAATTTCTTTGTTTACTGAATATATCACACATGGCCTCTTGAGATTTGGTTGTGAGTTTGTTGAGGCTTAAATTTTTATTCTTGGCGTACATAGTTAATATGAAGTTTTTGTCCCTTGAGTATCATTTTTTCCTCCTGGAATGCTTGACACAAAGGCCTTGTGGACAACTTTCTTCTTGTGTTTGAGACTAGCTGCTCTTCAGGGTTGATTAACATGGTGCCTGTGGATCAGGTTAAAATATATATGTGCCACTTCTTGTGAGCCCTATGTGCTCTTTGGACTGTACCTATTCCCTTTCACTGATTTGGATTCTGTCATTGTTTGCTCTCCTACACCCAGTTTAAACCTGACTTATCAGTAAGGAAAAGCAGTTACAACTCAGACTTGGGTCGTGGTCTGACTTATTGGAAAGGGAAAAAATGTGGCTTGGTCTGATTATGGATACAATCGGTCAATACACTTTATTTCCTTAGATGTGGATATCAAAATGTATCAAGAAAATTCGATAGGGTGGGGAATACTTGTTGGATGCTACATTTAATTGATACCAATTCATGTATGGGTTAAACTTCAACCAGTTTTTGTTTTGAAAGTAGTGATTAAGGTGGACACAAGAACGGTACAATTTGGTTCTTACTTTCCCTCCTTTTCTCATGTTACAGGATTAAGATGCTTGATGTGTGAAACCTTTCTTTGATTTTTGGTTCTGATAGATCTCTGATTCATGGAATACATTAATCAATTTGCTTGCAGTTGGATTGAGTAATATATCATTTTGTTTATAACATTTGATTTTCCATGGAATCTATTGGTTATTGATGGATAAACTTTTAGTGTAGGTTGATATGATTGTTGTTACAGATGGAAGCAGAATATTGGGTCTTGGAGATCTCGGAGTTCAAGGTATAGGAATTGCAATTGGGAAGCTGGATTTGTATGTCGCTGCTGCTGGAATCAACCCTCAGAGGGTATCTTCTTGCTCCATGCATATATATTTCACATTCATGTTCGTATAAGCAAATGAATTTGGAACAATGCTGCTGCTGGTTTTGACAAACTAACTCCTGAAAATTACAATGGTCATACATGTTACAATAAACAAAAGAATGGCCTTCAGTGGTACTATGACAAATCAACCTGATTGGTCATCAGTAGTATATCCTGTCAATCTAATCTCTAAGTGTCGTTTTGAGAATTTGTAATAGCCAGTGTGACTGCCATTTGGATATTTGAATTGTGGCACTTTCAAATGTGAATTCTCTTTAGTTGTATTGTTGAAGCAGAGAATGGGGTGTCTCCCATTGGATTATGAGTGATTCCAAGTCCTCTGTCAAGTTCTTTACGTTGAATATAGGAGAATATTCCTCCATAATTTATTGTCTAATGTACTCTTTGTTAATGTATGGTATGGGTTGGGAAAAGAAAATACTGCTGGGACATCCAACAGATGGGTTCGTCATCATGGATGACCTAATTCTAGTAGAAATTGGCCACCTATGCATATTGCATAGCGGTTGTTTTGGGTTTCTAGTGGCTTTCTTCTAATTCTTATTTCATTTCTAGTCTGATCTCTTTGACTTGTGTTTGAGGAATTCTCTTTATTTTTTTTGCTTTAAAGATCATATTCTTACAGTGCTTCCTATCTTATTTATTGAAAGAGAAAAGGAATGTGCAAGTATCATGCTGGAAATAGAAGTGTGGTACACAAAAATTGCCATTTCTACCTAATTTTCACTGGAGTGCTTTTCCTTTCCTTGTCTCAGTCATACTAGGCAAAGTGATGCCATCTCTACTCTGACAACTTTTTCTTTTTCTTTTTTGGTTTCCTGGATTGCCTTGACAGATTTGCTGTTTGAAGGTTTACAAGCATAGACAGCATAGTAACTTCACCATTGCCCTGCCCTGTACACGTGTCCTCCTAGCATGTAGAATGTGCAAGTTGTTTTCTTTGTGTAGTTCTTGGCAATTCTTTATTATGTTCCTCAATGCCGAATTCTTCTGCTGTTGTGTTATGCAATCACGTGTAAAATCTTTTCGATTTCGTCAGTAAGCCTGTGCAGTTGTTGGTTTATTTCAGGGGAAAACAATTTTCATGGCTTAGCTTGTGCAACATTACGTCCATGTGACCTGCACATGATGCCTGGCTGGATAGAAATTCAAATTTTAAAATTTTTTGATTAAGATTGCTAAAATCATGATGCCTTTCCTTACTACTGTATTGTTTTCTGTTTCATACTTTTGTTGGCTCAGTGGATTTTTGTCTGATTGTCTGCTGCAATTGTTCACTACCATTATCTCTAAACACTTTTAACTTTTGCCTGGATAATGTAAGTTATTCCCTTTTTTTCCCCTTTTCCCTGAATAGGTACTTCCTGTCATGATTGATGTTGGAACTAACAATGAAAAGCTTCTGAATGACCCATTGTGTAAGAATCTCTTTATTTTATCATGTAGGACAGTTTACATAAGCACCATGCGCGAATACTTACTCTGTAATGGCAATGCACTATGTATGCCTTAAAGTGAAATTAAGATTGATTTACTACTGCTCTGGAAAATGATAGAAATAGCCTTAGGTTGTCAAATAAGAAAACTATTTCTGCCACTTTCCTTCGGGATTCAATTATGTTTAGTGGATTCTGTAACAACTATCACTAAATACCTAGTTACTGAAACGCTTTTGTTTCTTGTTGAAGTATATTTGCAGTGCAATTGTTGGTATATTGGAATTTTTTGTCTTTCTGCTATACGGCCAATCAGTTTTGGTCCCGTGTCATGACTGACACGTCACCCTTCCTCCTCCAGTGCATTGGAGTACAAATCAAGTAGTAAAATTTACCTTAATGCATGGACATGGAGCAGAGTCAAAGGCACCTTCACGGCGCCTTGTGCCTTGACTAGATGAGCTGGAGGGTATTGGTCTGTTGACTAAGGCAAGGTCTTCACCATGCTTAGGTGACCTCAGTGCCATAGACTTGGCTTTGTTGCGTCCTAGCATGGTCTTCCTAGGGATAACCAAGACATGCTCCTTGATACAGGACTTGTATTGGGACATCATCAACCCGTACAAGTATGGACTGCCATTTGACATTTAGCTTTGATGTTGGGCAAACTTGATCGCATGCCCTCGAAGTGTGGCCTAGTTTAAGTAAGATATTGGGCTTTGGATCTCAGCTGGATCCAATCCCATACTCTCCCAACACCCCTATGCAAAGGGGCATTAAATCTTATTGATGGATTGATCCACCCATGTTGTACTCCCCTTCTCAGCTCCACTTGGCATCCACTTCCTGGCACCTCCCCTACCCAGCAACGTCACATTGACATTGATAAACTACCTTGGTTTTATACATAGATGGGTCGGTCTACAATTTTGTTGCCCTAGTATTATAATGAGGTCGTTTTGATTTGACTTGTTTCTCGACTTTTGACAAGTTGAAAATAATTGCCTTTTAACTGTCATTGCTGTCATGAATCCATTTATGGTGACTTTTTATCACATTCTAATTTCCTCAAGCTGATGTGCATTCTTCAGCCGTTGAGTTTTCTTGAAAAATGTGATGATCTTATTATTCATTTTCTATAGATTTGGGATTGCAAGAACACCGCCTTGATGGAGAGGAGTATCTTGCAGTTATTGACGAGTTCATGGAGGCTGTGTTTACTCGTTGGCCACATGTGATTGTGCAGGTGTTTTTTCAACTGTTGGGCATTCTCGTGATAAATAATTAGTTAATATCATTTAAGTCTATGTCATTATTTATTTCTGTGAGAAGAAGCTAATGCACATGGAATTTGTGCAGTTTGAAGATTTTCAAAGTAAGTGGGCCTTCAAGCTATTGCAGCGATACAGGAACATGTATAGGATGTTTAATGATGACGTTCAGGTAAACAGTTGTCTTAATTATGTGTTAGGACATCGTAGAGGTTTTTTTTTTTTTTTTGTTGGTAATGCAGTATTAGGTGTTGGGCGTGTCACGGGTTCGAGTTTCAAAAACAGCCTATTTTCCCAAGAGATAAAATTGCGTAAATCTGATCCTCCTAGACCTTGTTCTGGCAGGAGCCTTGTGTGTTGGGTTGCCCTCTATTAATGATTTGTTAGTGCTGTTTTAATGTGATTATCTCATTGTCTTTCATTAACTTCTTTAGCTCTCCACAAAGCCATCTATGAAAATCTTACTAAGAACATTTATGTTGAACCATTAAATGGCCTTAATACTTGCTCTAGTAGCTGCTGCAGGTCATCTTTCATTTTTCCTTTGTGAGCACAGATTTTTTTTTGTGAATTTGTAAGTCTTTTCCTGTAAAGAATTTTTCAGCTTGAGATCCGATAAAATGTGCATCATAGTCATCCAATATATATGTACTTCTTGATTTAGATATACATCTGCCTTTGCTGACCAACGTGATTCAACGTTGACTGGAATACAGGGAACCGCAGGAGTTGCAATTGCTGGTCTATTAGGAGCTGTGAGAGCACAAGGAAGGCCGATGATCGACTTTCCAAAGATGAAGATTGTTGTTGCTGGTGCTGGAAGTGCAGGAATCGGGGTTCTCAATGCTGCTAGGAAAACCATGGCAAGGATGTTAGGAGACACTGATATTGCTTTTGAAAGTGCCGGCAGTCAATTCTGGGTGGTTGATGCCAACGGCCTGATCACTGAGGGGCGGGAAAAAATTGATCCAGATGCCTTGCCATTTGCAAGGAAGATTAAAGAAGCTAACCGTCAAGGGCTGAGGGAAGGGGCAAGTCTTGTGGAAGTGGTGCGGCAAGTGAAGCCTGATGTGCTTCTTGGTTTGTCTGCAGTTGGAGGCTTGTTCACGAAAGAGGTCTTAGAAGCCCTTAAAGATTCAACTTCGACTAGACCAGCAGTCTTTGCTATGTCAAACCCCACAAAAAACGCTGAATGCACCCCTGACGAAGCGTTCTCCATTGTTGGTGACAGCACTATATTTGCAAGTGGAAGCCCATTTAAAGATGTGGATCTCGGAAATGGTCATATAGGACATTGCAACCAGGGAAATAACATGTACCTTTTTCCTGGGATTGGACTTGGTACTCTTCTATCTGGCTCTCGGATCATCTCGGATGGCATGCTACAGGCTGCAGCCGAGTGCTTAGCTGCATATATGACCGACAAGGAGGTTCTCGAAGGGATTATATTTCCTTCAATATCCAGCATTCGTGATATAACAAAGCAGGTGGCTGCAGCTGTTATCAAGGAAGCTATAGAAGAAGACCTGGCAGAAGGATACCGCGAAATGGATGCTCGAGAGCTCCGGAAACTTAGTCACGAGGACATTGAGAGTTATGTGGAGAACAATATGTGGAGTCCAGAATACCCAGTTTTGGTCTACAAGGAGGATTGAACACCTCTCTCCTGGCTAAACTAACATTCTTCCCACGTCATCTCGTTGATGGTGATCGGATAATTAATGGATCAGATGCTTGTCATAATCTTTATATTGGAACATGACCATTGTGTGTTTGCTCGGATCGATTATAATCCCCAAGTTATGGTGCGTTTAGTGAGTGTGTCAATCGTTATATACTCCTTTTGTATCATGGGTTTTTCGGGTTTTGAACTCTGAATTCCCTTATCTGTCTTGTAAAATTTAGTCAAATTTTCTCAGATTCTTTTATTTCAAGTTTTATAGACACCATATTTGATTCTAATGCTCAATTCTAGTAAAGATTAGTTTCACTAATCATGGCTTGTGTTCTAATTTCTAACTGATCCTTTGAAGGGTTTGACAAGGTTTGCAGCTTTTGCTTGGTTCGACTCATTTGACAATTTGATGGGCGGGGCTTTCTTTGTGTAGGAGGATAGCAGGTTGTGTTTTTTTGTTATAGCCTGTGTACACGGGGAGGGAGTGGGGTGAGGTTTGAACCTGGAGAGGATAGCGGTTGAACTATTACCGGTGTTTTGAATAAAATAAGAGAGAGGCAGAGATATTCATAGAGATGGATTAATGGGGTTGTCTAACAATGACAAGTGTATTAGTTGAATTATTTTACGTTTTTTTGATTTTTTTAGAATTATCATTAAATTAAAATAAAGAAAAATTAAATTATTTTTGACTTTTATATTATATATAATTTAAAAATTCAATTATCTAATTGTAATATTAAATATATCCTCTATGATTGATTGACCCCACTTAATACTATGTTATTGCTTTATGGTAAGGGATTAATAATTTGAGCTGAATTTTGTGAATTCAAGCTAAATTTTTAAGTTTTTTTTTTTAAATAAGTCTAAAATAGTATTCAAGTCTGATTCAACTCGTTTAGAAAACGAATCAAGTCCGATCCAAGTTTAAAATGAGCTGGACTTGAATAGATTGACTATTTTATTACATATAACGAGTTTAAATTAAAATTTTTAATTTTCTGTTTTTAAAATGTTTAAAAAATTATTGAGTTGAATCTACCTGAACTCAGTATCTTGGCTCGATTATCAGCCTCGCCTGTTGAATTCGGCCTTCGGCTGACCACGAGGAGCCCAACGGTGCACCGTTAGATTTCAAAATTCAAAATTTCAAAACGAGTAAAAGCCAATTATAATTTTCTTACATTCTGACCCAATCATAAAAAGGACAACAATGCGCACCTGGCGCACTATATCACCGCCTGCCCCTTTCCTCTTCCCACGGTGACATCTCTTCAGACCTTCCCCTTTAGTCCAACCTCTCAACGATCTTTCACCTCGCGTTCATTTCAAGTCCATCTCTCTCTCTCTCTCTCTAGAAGTTTTTGCTTCGGACTTGCTTAATTGCGAAGTCTAGGGTTTTGGAAGCTCAGATCTATTATTGGAGAAGATGACGACTATGGAAAGCTTGATTGGACTGGTCAATCGGATTCAGAGAGCGTGTACTGCTCTCGGAGATTATGGTGGTGGAGATAATGCTTTCTCTTCTCTTTGGGATGCTCTTCCTTCTGTCGCTGTCGTCGGAGGACAGGTTCGTTCACTCGATCTCTTCGTGTCTTCAAAGAGACAAAAAGAAAGAGTTTGAGAGAGATCACATAGAGAAAAATTGCATCTGGAGTAAAAAAAGAGAGGATTTGTGTATATTATGATTGATTTTGGGCTGGGACTAAGTTGTGAAACCTTTATTTCGGGGACTCAGTTTTTTTAGAGACTGAGTCAATCCGTTAAAATAGAGGAGCGAAAGAGAGAAAACACGTAGAGAGAGGTGGGTTTTTAATTGATTTGAGCTGATTTTAAAGCTCTTATTTATCTTACAATGGGGATAGTTTTGGAGAGGGGTGGGGGGCGGGGGAATTGCTAGAGTACGTAGACAAAGGTGGGAGAGTGTTGACATTGGCAGATTCGCAATAGATATATATGAATTTTGATTCCGGATTGAAGCTGTGAAATTTCTTAATTATCTGTTTGATTTATGTATTTTGTTGTGAACAGAGTATTTCATATCATGATTTTTGTTTTGTTTTGTTTTGTTTTGAGCTGAGTTCAGAGTTCTGGAAAATCATCAGTGTTGGAAAGCGTAGTTGGGCGCGACTTCCTTCCTAGAGGATCTGGTTAGCTTTTGGATACCTTTATTTTGTTTGTCGTTCCATGGCATTTATAAGAGAATCATTGTCATAATTATTTGCTGTGTTATCGTTATTTTTGATTACACAGGTTCATTGTAATTGCAGGGATTGTCACAAGGCGACCTTTGGTGTTGCAATTGCACAAGACAGAGGAGGGGCAGCAGGACTATGCCGAGTTTGGCCATATGCCGCGGAGGAGATTCTCTGATTTTTGTATGTATTTCCTGCTTAGATTTTCTTAAGAAAAGTATGAGCTTGTACATTTTAAGATTGGGCAGTGATGCTCTGTTAATTCTATGTCAGTTTTGAATATACTTGTTCTGCTTGACCCAATTTATTTTTCTACTTTAATGGTTTCTTGTAACGGGGAGAGTGCATGATGGTCTTATCAGGGCAATGACCCTGTGCTCAGTTCTTTTGTTGATCTTATCTGTGGTATCCTAAGAGCTTTAATTGGTCTGAAACAAAAGGAAGGACAAAAACATCTGGACTTGTATCTCTCAATTTGTGCACTTACAAGAAAGAAGAAAAATATGAAATTGCCACATAGTTTGTCCAACCCTTTTGTATTCTACTTCTTTTAGGTTGTTCTGTATGTGAAGTTAAGTAACCGTTCTTCCCAAATTTCTGTAATTCTGCATTAAAATTTTATCAGGATTGTTTCCATACTATTTTTTCATTGTCCAAGTGTGTGTTCTGTTTGGATCCACATGTCGGTATTGACCAGAGTCACTCTGGTGCTGACAATGAATTTTCTCTATTGTTTTTTCTTTGGTGCAGCCTTGGTTCGCAAAGAAATTCAGGATGAAACTGATCGAATAACGGGGAAGTCAAAGCAGATATCTCCTGTTCCTATCCATCTCAGTATCTATTCGCCCAACGGTAGGTTTTTTTATTTTATCATAGTTTCTGTAGAATTGCTGTGACAAATCTGATTTCCGGGTTTTCTTTTAAGTTCCTATAGTTGGTTCTTTAGCCACTATGGAGTCACATTTCTTTTCTTCCTGAAGAAAATGCAATAGAGCAATTGATTGAGATTCTATTGAATATAATGAGCATAAATTGACCATTATGTATTTTGTGCTGTCGCTACATTTCGTGTCTATAATTATGAAATTTGAAGTTTCCTTGGAAGTTCCTCCAACTACGCATAATGATGTGTCTTAGATTTTATGCCTTAGGATTAATGCTTGATTAATTTTATTACTACCATGTGGGGCTAAAGTTGCTAGATTTTCTTGGAAAATGTTTCAGATAATGATGCAAAGAGACTTGAGATGAGGAGCCATAATTTGGATGTGATCCATGAATTTTGTAAATATGATTTTGAAATTGGGCGGTTGATATTTTTCCATTTAAGCAATCTACTTTTGTAAGTTTTAAGCCCTCTACAGCTGTACTTTGAGGGACGACTTCAATTTTTACTTCAATAAAGAAAAATATTAGCGAATGAAATCCACCTTCAATGTGAGGAACAAGCTATACGAATGGAAGCTTGAAACTTTTAATAGGTCAAAGTTGAGATTTTCTTTTTCCTCACTGTTATTCCTTTTCTTTATTGACATGGGATAATGTGTTTTCATGCTCTATTTTACTGTATTGTCGATGTACTTCCACCCCCCACCCCCACCCCCAAACACACACAGTTACACTTTTTCTCTTCCTTTTCTGTCTCCCATTAACTCAATTTTTATGGTTTTTTTGTCTTGCAGTTGTCAACTTAACCTTAATAGATTTGCCTGGTTTGACGAAAGTTGCTGTTGGTATGTTCTGCAGTTAATTTCTCATGTTTGTTGGTCCTGTAAGCAATCTGAACTGAACTCCATTTAATACAAAGACTTTGCTCTTTGCAGAGGGACAACCAGAAAGTATAGTTGAAGACATTGAAAACATGGTTCGGAATTATGTTGAGAAGGTCCTGATACTTTACCTCTCTCAGAAATATAAAGAACCTATTTGGAAGTTCGTTGTCTAGATTGTGCCACTTTAATTGAATGAATTGATATATATTAAGGTTTAACAAGTATGCATTAGTTGATACCCCTCTCTCTCTCTCTCTATATATATGTATGCGCGTGTGCGTGTAAGAGATAATATTTGCTTAGTTCAACTGGTGGATAAGTGTCGTTCCATTAGTTAAGCCTGTAATTTTTCAGGTTATATTTAAAATTTTTGCTAGGAGGTGTTGTGGTTCGTATCTGTATATTATTTAGTTCATTTATTTCATTTTTTGTTTCTCTTTTTGATTTGCAATCTACTAATTTGTACTTCTTGTTGGGAGTCCAATTGACAATTTTATGATTTCTGCAGCCCAACTGCATTATACTAGCAATTTCTCCTGCGAATCAAGATATTGCAACTTCAGATGCTATCAAGCTTGCTAGGGAAGTGGATCCAATGGGTATGTTTTGTTTGCTTTTTGTTGCAATCGTATTATGAAGTTTTAGCAACATTCTGTATCTCTGCCTTCCCTCATGGATGCTATATGTGGGTTTCCCAGGTGATCGGACATTTGGAGTGTTGACAAAGCTAGATTTGATGGACAAAGGAACTAACGCATTGGATGTGAGTTATCTCTCTTGCAGTACAAATATTTAAGGAGTTTTTAGTGTGGCATCACTAAATTTTCTTCTTTTTTTTTAATGACCAGAGAAAATTTTAATTTTGTATTTATTGCATTTAAAGCAAGATAGTTTTAGTAATTGGAAGCCGGCATACTTGTTTGTGATTACCGCCATTAACATCTTCATTACTGGTATCTGTCACCTTTTTTCTGGTTTACTATGTTGAGTTTCCTTCCATGTGATTGGTTAGGTTGACCAGAACTTGCCAATACACTTCTAGAACATTCCTCCTCTTTTTTTTTTTTTTCAATGTTTCTTTGTTGAAATCTTTGGCAAATTTAATAGTTTCTGCTATTGGATATCTTCTTATTTCCCATGAAAGGTTCTTGAAGGAAGATCTTACCGGTTGCAACAACCTTGGGTGGGGATTGTTAATCGTTCACAAGCTGATATAAACAAAAATGTTGATATGATTATTGCAAGGCGGAAAGAACGTGAATACTTTGCTACAAGTCCCGACTATGGACACCTAGCTAGTAAAATGGGTTCGGAGTATCTTGCAAAACTTCTCTCAAAGGTATGATTGTGTGAGTCCAAATTGTTTAATATTATGTCTTTATAGTTTAAAAAAAAAAGTAAAATAAATGTTGCTTTTACTTTCAGCACTTGGAGACTGTAATTAGGTCAAGAATACCAAGTATTACATCTTTGATTAACAAAAGCATTGATGAACTCGAAGCTGAGATGGACCACCTTGGTAGGCCTATTGCTGTCGATGCAGGGGTGAGCGGCTGTATTTCATTAGTAGTATTCTTGGATGAGACAATATGTGTCATTTTGGGGACTGAATTGCTGTTTCTCAGGCTCAATTGTACACCATTTTGGAACTTTGCCGTGCTTTTGATCGGATATTTAAGGAGCATCTGGATGGAGGGTGAGTAATGTATCCTCTTTCTCCTTCTCAGATACATATTGAATTTACACTTATGAGAACATGATCTAGTGTTTCATCTGAAGTGAGGACGCATGAGTTGATCTGATACTTTCTTTTTTTTGTTTGTGGGGTGTAGGGTGTTTTATTTTTATTTTTATTTGGGGGGGGGGGGGGAGGGGAAGTTGATGTTGGAACTTGCAACCACCTGTGGCCAGGAGGAGTGAGGGCACTGCCTCACCCCAAATCATACTTCAGACCCTATTTAGGGAATTTATGTTAATGTTCATTTAATGCACATATATAATGTGCTTTGGAAAATCTTAATATCCTTGGTGCATCTGCTAAGTTCTGGCTAGAAATTACCTAATATGTAATACATGAGTTTAGGTTGTTCATTTGTGTCATACCAAACTCACTCCATGTAATAACCCTAGCATTAGTATTCAAAATTTGTTATCAAGAATGGCCATTCCAAGAAATGAGAGCCATCACCATATCTGAGGGTACCTATGAAGCACGGACACTCTCGAAAAGGTGACGTATCCGTGTCGGACACCGCACTCTTCGGACACTTTCGAACACGTGTCCGATACTCTTTTATCCGTGTCCAAATTCAATGATAAATTTTTAATTTCAGACACTTCTTTGGTGACGTGTTGGACACTTCTTTAAAACGTGTCTACTAAACAATAAACATGTGTTGAAATGTAATGAACAAAGTTCAAAATTTTTAAAATATATAATTACTAACACTATTCATGTTAAAATTGTACTCCAAATATAATAATAAAAACAAAAGATGTATAAAAGTTTAAAAAAAAAAGAATTGAGAAAATAAAATCAATTATTTAAATTATATGTTAGTACCACATTGTCTACACAAAAAATTGATGATTATTGACTATTATGAGGATGTTTTAGTCTAAAAATTTACAAAAATGACTAGACATTAGATTTACTTATCATAAATTACTGAATCTTTTATGAATTTATATTATTATCACTATATTTGCAATAAATTATATAATGCTGTATATAAAGCATAATTTTTTTTGTAGCATGTCCTAACGTGTCCATATCCTACTTTTTTGAGAAATGTCACGTCAACGTGTCCGTGTCGTGTCGTATTTGTGTCCCATGTAAATGCAAAACTCATCTTCTGTTAGATTGCTGCTCATTTTGTAAAAATTATTTAATTATTTTTTAGCTCCATTTTTTAGGAGAACTGGTTACATTTGTCATATGTGTGCTAAAAGAAATGGTATGAAATCCCTTGAAACTGTATCAACTGGTTGTATATATGCGTAAACATTTAAGATGAAGAATTTGATAAGCTATTCATAGGAGAGAACTTGGCAGGCGGTTAAAAGTCAGAGGGCCAGTAGTTTCACAAATGGAAGATTATTTGAGTCTCATATAGAACTGTTAGAAATGATGGTTGTTTCAAGTTGTTCTACTACTAAATTGGGGTTGGGGAAGCAGTTTGTCTAACTAAGCTAAACTTATTGCATGGTCATTGTTTTATAAGCTGAGTTGTTTCTTCAGCACACGACCAGCTAAAGATGCACTTTTAACTGAGGCATGTTTTTACTTTTAATGTGTTATGCCTTAAGTTTATTGATTTTTTTGCTTTTGCCCCCATTTTTCTTGAACCTTAGGACGTGCTTATATCATTTGGCCTTCCCATGGACGATTGAATTTTTTTGCTTATTTCAGGCGGCCTGGTGGTGATCGAATTTATGGAGTTTTTGACAATCAGCTTCCCGCTGCTTTGAGGAAGCTTCCATTTGATCGGCACCTTTCAATACAGAATGTCAGGAAAATTGTTTCAGAGGCAGATGGATATCAACCACACTTGATCGCCCCTGAGCAAGGTTATCGGCGGCTTATTGAAGGGGCATTAAATTATTTTAGGGGTCCAGCTGAAGCTTCAGTGGATGCTGTAAGTACTTATGTGCTATTTTAGTGGTGTCCTATGTAGACTTTCAGCCCACATTTGTCGCACTATTGCTGTACTTATTGCCACATCAATGCTTAGGTTCACTTCGTCTTGAAGGAGCTTGTAAGGAAGTCAATTGGAGAATGTCAGGTGACATAAGAACTTCATCTCATGGTTTTCTAGTTGAGCGATGCTCTCCAGTCCCTGATCAGGAATATTTTCTAAATGAAAATTTTTATTTCCACGGTGGAACAGGAGCTGAAGCGGTTTCCATCTCTTCAAACTGCAATAGCTGGAGCTGCCAATGAAGCCTTGGAAAAGTTTCGTGATGAAAGCAAGAAGACAACTCTTAGATTGGTGGACATGGAATCTTCATACCTGACTGTGGATTTCTTCCGGAAACTTCCCCAGGAAGTGGAGAAAGGGGCAAACCCAGCTGCCACAACTATTGACCGTTATGCGGAGGGTCACTTCAGGAGAATAGGCTCAAATGTGTCCTCTTATGTTAGTATGGTTTCTGAGACACTCAGGATCACAATTCCCAAGGCAGTGGTTCACTGTCAAGTTAAGGAGGCCAAACAGTGTCTGCTCAATTACTTCTATACACAAATTGGAAAGAAAGAGGTATTCCTGTCTCCCTTCCATATTTCTATGCATTCGAATGTTGGATATAATCAATTTTTACAGGATATGTGGCTTGCTGATAAAATCTGCCACCGAAAAATAGATTTTTGGTACTAAGATGCACAGTAATGTAAGTAGCTAGGATAAATATGATTTGAAAGATCCTGAATTCATACTTTACAGGTTTTCCAGATATAAGTGACACCCAGGCCATAACATAAAAATAGATTATGTTTAATACTAAAAGAAACATCATATAATGGATAGCATTTGTGTGTTGTAAATCCCTATCTAGACCACTTGCTAATGTTGATGCCCATTTTTTATAGAAACTTTGTTGCATTATTGATATGCTACAAGGACTGCTGTGTAAAGTAGCAGGTTAAAAATTGTGGTATTGTATTGGTCACCGACTTATTGGCCTTATTATTTACCCAAAAAAAAAAACTTATTGGCCATATTGGGGCAATGTATAATGACACACACTACATAAAAGGCATGAGAAATATTAGTGATAATCCAGTGCCTGAAGACATTCTATAATACCAAAAATTGAGCATTGATTGATCAACATTTGTATTTTAAATAATAATTTATTATTATTTTTAATCACTCGATTTAAAATTAAGTGAACAGAAATAAAATAAGAAAGAGGCTGGCGTATATTAGTGGGAGTGTGCTAGTTTAATTCTTTGACTTTAGGGGACTGTGCAGAGAATATGATTTTTTTTGCGGGAGAATTTTTTCTGCAATGAATTTTTTATAATTTGATCAAAGTAGATGAAAATTGAATCAATTTTAACCATATAAGTTGAGAATTCAATTTTTTAGCTATAATATTGGATAGATAGAGAACGTCAAATGAATATTTAAAAAACAAACAAAATACACTAAACATGTTCAAAGTTCATGAATCCAAGGAAAAAATATATAGCCTTGTATATTATATTATCAATATTCAACTCCAAAACTACTATAACATTGTATTTTTTGTAATCTATTTTGAACTCCAAAAATAATCATGATGCAATGCAAGGAACAAATAAATCATTGTCTGTAACCATTTCCCTTCTCAAAATGCTGATCCCATCGAACTTCTTTATTCCATATTAGCATCATTATAATCATTCCACCTTGGCCTCTAACTTCATTTCCCTTGTCAGAATCTTCATTGTCTTCAACTTTTTGAATGAAATTGCAATTTTTAACATGGGATTATTCCAGTTTTTTTTTCTTTTGAGTTGAAATAGCAAAAAAAATTAATTTGTCTAAGATTTTTAAATTTTTTAAGAAATTTGAAGTAATCTTCATACAGAGTTATAAGATGATTATATCTCAATCTAAAAAGAATACACAAATCTCTGTTTACATTAGCATGTTGGAGAATCTTCCCTACTTTCAAGCTTCCATGTGTTGGGAGACACTTGCAGCACATGTAGATAAAAGAACACTAAAGAGAAAGTAAGAATTTTTGGTTCCCATGCATGTTTTGGTGAGGAAGCCCATCAAAGACTACTTTCAGGATCCATTTGGATTTTGCCAATTCAACTGAGTTGTCAGGCTGCTTGGAATTGACCCTTCCAGCTGATCTCACCCATATGGGATTCAATTTGCTGTTTTATTGTTTGTCAACCATGTATAGCCGTTTCTACTATTGAAATTTGATATCGTCTCGATACCCACCCTGATTCAAAGTTGACGACTCAGCTGATGGCCTTGGTGTTATTCGCTACTATAGTTTGCAGGGACTCTAGTTCCATTCTTGCACAGTATTCCCATGCTTCTTGAATTGTTGCGAGTGTTCTAAGAAGATGAACACATCTTATGGTAAACACCTCAAAATGAGCCATTTGATTCCTTTTGGGTTAATGCTACCAAAATTGTTTTTTTTTCTGTTTTTACCAACTGTGACTGCATCTATCTGAGGTAGAGGTTCTATAAGGTATCATACTCTCGTTGTGTTCATAAGACATGTAGCTTGGATATATTGACATAGGTGACGAGGCTGGTGAGACTATGAGAGTGTTTACCTACCTTTTTAAAGCTTGCAGACTGATTTAAACCGCAGCAATAATTACATCTTCAATAATACATATCATTTTGCCTAATGTTTCAGGGTAAGCAACTAGTAGAACTGTTAGATGAAGATCCAGCATTGATGGAGAGGAGGTTAGAGTGTGCAAAAAGGCTTGAGTTGTACAAGTCTGCCAGGGATGAGATTGATTCTGTAGCATGGGTTCGATGAGATTGATGCATATCGGAGATATATTGTATGATAGCGCAGGTCACAGAACGGATGATTACAGACTCCCTCTGATTGTTCAATTGTTTGGAAGTTGAAATTCTTTATTGTCATTGTCTTGCAGTTTATGCATACACTTGTTGATTTGGAATGCTAGGTTTTTTGTTTACTGTTGTAGTTCTTTATAGATTTTACACCACCCTCCTATATAACATATATTAATTTGCATTTTTTTCTCCCTCGGTTCTCTGTTTTATGAATGATCAGTGCCTATGGCGTTTCTAAAATTGTAAGAGTAAAGATTGTCGGGTTTCATTTCATCAATTTTTTTAGATGCGGGGGGATGATTAATGTTTTTTTTTATTCTCTCCTTTCCTGTTTTCCTAATTTTTTTTTAGGTTAAATAATAAAGGGTGACGGGGCCAGGTTATCTACATCTCGATTAATCTCTTTTTTGGTTCAATCAAAGCTTGACCTGTTACGCTAAGATTAGGAAATTCATGAGGGATAAATTTTTTATGACTTAATGTTAATGAATTATCAAGATTCAAATTTAGGACGTCTGATTTTACAATTCGTTTTTACCTATTGCCACTTTCTCGTGTGATTTATCATTTTCTTTCCTTTTTTCCTGTTCTCGTACTCTTGTCACTTAAAAAGTCATAGGGAGTATTATAAAAAGTAATAGGGAAGTATTTTTTATAAAAAAGTTTAACATTGTAGGTGATGAAACATTAATTTGTTTTTTTATTTTTTGCAAATGATGCAAGTATGTTCAGATTGAAGGGAACTATTTTTTAAAAAATTAAGTAAATTTAGAATTTGAATTAAGCATTTACGAAAGAGGGCTCCCCAAGCACTCTTGTCACAATTAGATTGTCATATATGTAGAGAAATTACAGCTTTATATTTATGGTGCTTTAGAACAGAACACCCCCCCCCCCCTTACATATGTAGAGAGATTGAAGTTTTAGAAATTTTTTTTCAAGCATTAAAATACTCTATTTCAACCACCAAAAAACCCCACTTCTTGTCCAAATTCTTTAATGAAATCCCAAAAAAGCCCTCTCCATTAATTAAATGTCATATATAACATTAAATAGTTCATGGAATTCCAAAAGAACAATGCTATGTATTCTAAACTTTTAACCCAAATTTTTATCCCAAATCAAGGGAGACCATTAGATCAATGAGTCCCATTTTTAAAAGTTGATAGGGCTCACTCATCCAATGGTTTTTCTTCATTTGGGATGAAAATTTAGATTGAAAATTTGGGATACATAGTATTTCTCATTCCAAAAGCCTTTTTGTTTAATGAAATATTATGCATTTTCATATTAAATAATATTTCGTAATATGATATCATTATCAATCATATCAATGTTTTGTGGAGTGAAGGTTTTATGAATAATTTTTTTATTAGTTGAATTCGTATTTTCTAGTCATTTTCGTCAATAAAATAAATAATATTAAAGTTAGAAAATTAAATTCTCATTTTCTTTAATATTTCACTATATATCCAAATAAAAAAAATAATATTAAAGTTAAAGAATTAAATTCTCATTTTCTTTGAATCTCATTTTGTACCTTAAAAAGATTTAAAATTTTTTACTTTGTACCATTAAAATTTAAAATTTTCATATTATACCGTTAATGTATAAAAAAATATTACAATGCTATCCTTTCGTTAACATCCGTTGTTTATTTTGTTAGAAATCACCCCCATTGAATTTGATGGAATGAGTGATAAAAGCTAAAAGAAGGACCATATTATAATATTTTTAATAAATTGAGGGTATAATATGAAAATTGTTTAATTTTTAAAAGTATAAAATAAAAAATTCTTAAATTTTTTAGGGTATAAAGTAAGATTAGCCCTATTAGTAACCGAGATGCGAAATGGATTTGGCTCGTCCGTCCATAAGTCCACTCGGACCCATTACCAGAATCGGACTCTAAAACCCTCCAACGGCCTTCACTCTTCACATCCTCTTGCCCAGAGAGAGAGAGAGAGAGAGAGAGAGAGGATGAATGGGACCTCCGGTCTCTTACGACTATGGCAGATTCCATCCACTTCTCTGTTATGTAGACGCTCCAAGTTTTTCAACGGTTCTTTCTTTATCTACATCTATTGTATCTGTACATATAAGCCGATGAATCTTTGTCTGATATTCCCTGTTGACCTCTGCAAGTAAATTTCATGAACACCCACATATTTGAAATATCTTGTTACTACTCTGTATGGGTTTTCTTTGTGTTCTTTTCTTAATGCAATGGGAAAAAAGACTATGGGGTTGATATTGGTTCGCTTGTTTATGCTGTTATATGGCTTTAAATTAGTGTACCCATTGCATAAAACTCTTAGATATTGCCGGGATTAACAATTGCCCATCTGCTTGATTGTTTTACTTTTATTTTGTTTATCATTTCCATGTCTCAGCTCTTCTATTTGATTGTGCTTTCTAGTTGAACATTTTACTTGCACTAATTGCATGAGTTATTGTTGTTTATTCTCAGAAATATCCTAATTGGCAATTTGTTTGATATGCAAAATTGTGGAAAAAGGAGGAAACTTTGTGCATGAGTTTTCTTTCTTGTTTTTTCATCAGATGCAAAAGGAAAACTGGTCTATACTACACCGAAGAATTGTGTTAGTCTTCTTCGGTGACAGTGTTTTTCATTTCATTAGATTCCAAACAAGTACATATGTATATTAGAAATTGTATTGCTACCAAATGGATCCATGAATCCGTTATTTCTTTTTGTTGACTTCTTTTATTTCATTTAAATGTAAAACCAACCGTAGTCTTGATTTCAATTTCGAAATGGTGTGCGATATCTATTCTTTCTCCACTTACTAATAAATGCAGTCAAATGCAGGTTTGTATCTGGTCCCTGGAACGGTTATAGATCCGACCCTGTGCTTCTGTAACCATATCCAGACTACTGCTTACGGAGTTGTGAATAGAAGTTATGTAATGTCTATACAGGCCAACCAACAAAATAGCATAGAGGTATTTTTCCCTTTTAATGTTTCTTTTGAGGTTTGAAGAAGTTGCCACGAAAAAGTAACAAATCGAGATTTGGTAACTTCCTTTTATCATCTGATGCCTCGTGATTAAGTGGAGAAGAATTAATTGTGAATTATTCATCATCTCTACATGTAAGTGGGGTCATGACTGGGCCATGTGACAACATTTAACACGCCATCATTGATGAGGAAAGTGAAAACATAACGGAGAGTTGAACACAGGGAATACATAAGAATTTCCATGGCGAGGATTTAGGAGGTGGAAGGAGTAACGTTGATTAAAGGGGCAGTGTAGGTGGTTAACTTTATGGATCAAACACCTTGGTGATAAAAATCGCTAAATCTTTTGTTGCAAGAGCGGACCAAGTTAACAGTGTTCTTGAGATTATTGCATTACTAATGAGGAATGGCATTAGAAAACTTAGAATAGTTCTGCCTACAATTGATTAATGGTGGGCTATTGCCACGAAATCTGGAAAGCCTAGAATTACAATGCTCCAAAGATAGAAGTATTGTTCTAGGCTTGATCTTTTCTTTCATTTTTCGTCTTGTCATTTGGATAGGCTTGATCCTAAAGTGTTTATGTTGCAGGAATTTTAGAGGGTTGGATGTTAAAGTTGTGGTTAGCAATTACTTTAGAGCTTGGGTGATGAGTTAATGACCAAAAGGTGTGGTAAGGTTTTGGGGATCACTTTCACATAGGGCCTTCTTAATGTCCACAAACAATAACATCGCAGATAGAAATCAAAAAGAAATAAATAATTTGTTAAAAATCTTGTCTAGAATCATCTAGAACTCATCACATAAGGTTAAATTGCATCATCAATCTCTGGATTCCAAGACTTTGAGATCAATAGTAAGAAAAAGATATGTATAGCATTCTGATAAGGGAATATCATAGACAGACATCCAAGTGGCCACCTACTTCTAGACGTTCTTATATAGAAGAGTTCAGAGAATGTAGAAGTGAAAATGGCTATTACCCAGTTTGTTTTCCATTAGTCAAGGGTGTTGGGATAGGTGGATTGGCTATAAACCTATGATTTGGCATAATTTTTTCAATATGGCTTCTCTAAGATGGGGACCACTAACTTGCTGCATTGTCGGCCTGAGCTTTTACCACTACACTAACTGATGGTCCATGGCAAATCTAAAATTTGTTCAGTCCTTTTTGTGGATCGGTGGTAGAGGAAAAATAAAGCTAACTTGTGATCTTTTAGATTCTTCAAATAGTGTGCAAACTTTAGAAAAGTCACTAACTTCATGAGCATATGTAGCATTAATGAATGGAATATAATGTGATTAGGTTTTTTTGGTGTTATTCTTGTTCAGAGAGCTTGCATCCCACATCGAATAATTAAGACCACCAAAGTTGATTTATATACTTGAGGGGCTATTCTACCTATTAGCAATTGGTTTTGGTTTGGATGCCCTAACAATTCTGAAGCTGTTCGTAAGATCTTTTTGAGAAATCTTGAAGCTTTTTTAAAAGAAAAAAACTTTGTAAGAATCTGAAATGGGATTTTTTTTACTGTTCTAATCCCAGTGCCTAGTTGTTTTTCTTGCATTCATTGTTTTCATTAGTTTTCCACCTTGTTCTACATGCCTATTAATTGGAAAGGAATAAGTGGTCTGAAAAAACGAATGTGGTGTTTGTTCCATTATTAGGACAAATCATCAGCACTGCCTGAAACTGTTGGTGCATTTCAAAAGCTACCCATGGTGATGCCATCCGTTGATATTTTATATTCGGCAATGAGGAAAGCAAGGAGGGTCTCATCTACAAAGGGTAATTGATCCGGTCAGCATATTTCATTTCAACATTGACACCACTGAATTATTAGATACTAGTTGGATTATCAAAGTGCTAAATGTGCTATTTAGTTTGTTTGTTTCATAGGTATTGCCAATATTGCAAAACGAGAGAGAAATAGAGGCGCAAAACAACTCGATGCATTGATGAAGGTAAGTTTGTAACCTGATAATGTCATACCAAATGTATGACTAATCCTTTATTTTGTACTTTTCATGTGGAACAATACTAATGCTGATGTCATGCTTCGTGTTCCATCTTTAGGAACTGGCCGTTCCCTTAAGGACATACAAGGAGAGCTTCCCAAACAAAAAACATTTGCACCCTTATGAGAAGTCTTTGATTGAGTTGACCCTTGGGGATGGAAACTATGAAGAGGTAAGTGCGACGTAGTTTACTGGTCTTGTTGTGTACATGCAGGTTCTTTGTGGCTCTGACAACTTTTTTTCGATGTGCATTGTAATAGGATTAAAAGACTATAACAACTTTATTGTGTGGTTTACTGGGAATAAAACTATGCAACAAATTATAGTGCAAATTGCATCTTCATCCCTATGGTTTTTTATAACTCCATGGGTTACTGTCATAGTTTTTGAAATTACACTGCCACCTCTCTGTCACATTTTGTCACCTAGCGATGTTGACGGAAGAAACTCAATTAATATTCTGCCCATAAACAAACTAAAAGTACCAAATTTTGACTTATATATTTATCCCTTTTCCTCGTACTCTTTTCTCAAACATAGAGAGGCAGCATGTCCCCCAGTCAATTTCCCTGATGGAAAGTTTGGTGGTTTTCTGACTAGGTTTGGAGGGGGTTTGGATGGAAGTATTTTTGGAAGTGAGCTTCGAGTGGTGGAGGTGAGCTCTGATTGGGTTTTGGAGGGGATGGTGATGAAAGTTGCCATTGTACAAGGTCATGGTTGATACCATTAACTCAAGAGGGTAATTAAATGCATCGGTTGCGGCGACTCAATCTAATTTTGGATTACGCCCGAAGTGATTGATAGAAGAAGTTGGAGATATTGAGAGATTAAGGCCATATTGCAGAGTCACATAAGCGTATCGAGCAATACGTTGCGAGTCAATGATTGATGACTTGGAGACTCGACAGCTGGGTGAAACTCATGATTTACGCAGAACATTGAACCATATCAAAACAGAAAGTATCATGTCAAATGTGACTGGAATGAGTCATGTAATGATCAATAGATTCATGGTTTTCAAGGTGGGGGCAGTTGCTGCTAATGGGGAGGGGCATGAGTTTAATTATTGGGTTGGGTAGGCTGTGGGGGTGACGTGTGGTGTGGAGGTGTAACTTGCAACAGTGAAAGGGGGGGGGGGTTAAGTTGTATTAGGGGGTGTCGTGGGGAAGTTGTGGCCGTTTGGTGTGTGTGGAATGTGGATTCAATTATTTGGTTCTTTTGAAAATATTTTTTATTTTTTCATTTTTCAAAAGGTCAATATAAGTATTTCAAGAAAGTGTGCTTATATCATTAAACTAAAGGAGAGGTACCCTATGAATTTTAAACCCAAACAAGAAGAGAGTGCATTATAATTGTAGAAACTACGAGGGCATCTTTTTTTAAGTGTTGAGAAACGTAATGGGTGCTAGTGTAATTTATCTTAAAATATAATGAATTTGTAATTCCCGGAATTGTGCATGCTTCTCATTTGACAATAGTAGTATGAGGTCTTTTTCTTTTCATTATTATTAGTAGTAGATGCTTTCTTCGTTCTTTGTCTGTCTAAGGTAGTAACACTTGCAAATGTATGGTTGAATACTCTGAGTGTTCTTTTTTGCACGTGTGTATATGTTCTATTTTTGCTTCTTTATTTTTTGACCATGTCTCATTAGTCTAATTTTTTCATGTTAAGTCATTACGTATCCTTTCTGAACTCTATGCATACAGGTTTTAGGAAAGATTGACGCTTTGAGGAAGAAGGTGGTATCAGTTGGAAAGGAACATGCCTCCCTTTGTGCTAAGGTTGGATTTATCTCTATCAAAACTGAAGGCTGTTGTGTCGTTAGCCTGGTCCTCTTGGAGTGTAACTATTTAAATATGATCACTAGTAATTAAATGCAACAAACAATTGGATCGGGGTTTCTCTGACACCTTCTATCTTGGTTTTGGGCCGTATAAAACATAATATTCTTTTATCAATGTTCCAAAATCTTTATTCAATTGAAGTGCAACCTTGTATGTAATTTATTTTTTGAATTTCTGTAATATTATGCCTCTAGACATCATCTTTTTGTCATCTTCTATGCCTAAAGACTTGTTTTTTTTACATGGAACTAGACATCAATGATTGATGGAGGGCAGGTCTTAGGAAACTTGGTATCATGAAATTTGTGGTATTGCAGTTTTACAGATAGAAGGAAGATCAAAGGTTTTGGGGTATAAAGGGTTGCAATTGGTTTGATTTAAAAAGTGGTAGGTTGAAACAATGTAAGAAAATGAGCCGCCACTCTTTTTAGGCCCTAGGTAGGGAAAATTGTTTGAAACGATAGGGGCTTGGTACGGTAGGACTATGGTATGTTATGGAATCTTCATGATTGATTCAGTTGAAATCTTGCATAGTGTGTTATCTCATCTCTGGTGCACCCGGACACTGAGCTAACTTAAAGGTGACTACCACATACAAGTCAACGTTACCAGCCACTCTTATATTCTATATTTTGTGTTGGTCCTGAAGTTTTCCAAACAGCCCTTAGATTTCGTGATGCAAAAGTTTTTGCCCTCTATCCTTTCATAGCTGTTATGGTTGTAAAAATAAGCATATAAAGGTTAAGTTTGAGTCAAACAAGACAGTTTCTCAGGTGTTGAATGGTACCACCCTCTTTTTGATCCCTTTGGGTTTCCTTATAAATAAATTGCTCAGTGCACTTATTCTAAATTTTAAATGGTGACTGTACTTTCTATCAAACTCGTGGAAAGTAAATATCAAACTTTCGCATTCTAATTATAATATGTTTAGACAATCATTTTACTCTTTCCAAAAATTCAATTAAAATACCTCAAAATATTGCTCATAAAAAAAGCCTACAAATATTCTGCCTGTGGTATCTAAATAATCCTATCCCTTGTTTACCCATTTTTTTTAATAAGTGGCCTTTTATGTTTCTGTTCTTGTTTTTGTATCAGAATGATTCGCATCCCATGTATCATTGGTCCTCCATAATTGCAATTCCTTGCTCTCCTCTCTGGCTGTGCTGATTTGGCAGGTGGAAATTGGGCCTATTGTTACTTTGGCTTGGTAGTTGGTGGTACAATGGTCTATACCAAGACGGTACTCTAACAAAAAGTCCAGATGTCGGTTCTATGCTAGTTTAGTGGTGAGGGAATTGGCCATTTTCCTTTTGCTGTCCTTGCAGAGTTCGATAGCTAAGACTCCTAAGATATAGCCAGAAGTGTGAGTCCTTTCGGATACTACATCCTGCATTGGAATACCCCGGTGTGCTCTTGGCAACGGTTTTAGTAGTTGCATTTTCTGGCCTTGTGACATGAGACATCCTTGCTACTATATTGTTTACATGGTAAAGAGAAATCTAGATCTTTGAGGATAATTGTGGCCCACTTGAGGTGGCTTCAGAATAAATGCTTTTTTTAAATCTCTTTCAGTGTACCGGAAGGCATTCCTCCAGGATTTAAATCTATGAAACTAGAGTTCAGAGGTTGTTCATTCACCGAAAAGTTATAAAAGTGTGGGAGCTGCTTCCAATCAATTGAACAGGGTTTGGTTTTTATAGTTTCTTTACTGGAAATCCTGGCCCACTGGATGTTGATGCCATTTTTGGAGACCTGCGATAATACTTTGATGTGTCTTTATGAGTCTGCTACCAAATAGAGATTTCAGGTTCCATTGGATGTTTTCTGGAGGTTGCCTCATTTTGTCCTTTGTCCTTGCCTGGTTTAACTATGGAAGTTCTGGACTTGGTGTCTTTCTTTGCATGGCTAACAAGGCTACTGAATTTCTGGATGACAGGGGATCCTTCACTTTTGAATTTTTGAGTGATTTCTTTTATGTACTGGTGGGGGCTGTTATGTGTAGTTTTTTAATTAAACAATTTATTCATTTCCTTTTTCTGGATGTTACATTTCTTTTTCTTCTATTCTCCCTGTTGTTGGGGGGACATGTCCTTTAGTTGTTTTCATCTTTCTTTTCTGAAGGTATTTTTTAAACCCAGAAGATACTTTTCCATTTGTGTTTGTTGAGAATACCTTTAATGATAGTTTGTTCTCTAAAAACTTATGCTAATAGTGTATTTAATATAAATCTTCACAGTCTTTGTCAAAGCGAGAAGCAGAGGAACGGTTGGGTGAGGTTAGTTATTATTATTTGCAAGCTCCACCAAGTTTATGCCATTTTTTCCTGTAAATTACTTGCTCTCATTTTATCTGCAGGGAATAAAAAAACTTGAAGAGATTTTTCATCATCAAGGAAAAGCTGTTGATGAATTGTTGAACATTGCCAAGGTAATTTGTGTCTGAAAATGCAAAGATTTTGAAGGAAGCTTAGGTATTCACCTTGGGCTTGGCTCAAATCAATAGTTGTTTTGATCTCCTGTTCCCTGTGTTCTTCAAATAAATTATTTCAACCGTGTCACAAAAATTTGTGTATCATGTATGCCTGCATGTAGGTGCAAATTATACCATGGTCAAATAGATGCATTGTGTTAGAGATCCAATTTTATGCTTTCCTGCACAGTTCTTTGGTGCACTCTCCATGAGAAAATCTCTTCAAAAGATTTAAAATCAATGATAATTGAGATATTACTCCCCCTAAGTGCTCCATAAAGTAACCTATATCATGATAACCAGAACAAGTTAGTGCACAAGGCTCCGCTGCTGCAGGGTCTGGATATGGTCCGATATATGCTGCCTTATCTTCTGCATTTGGAGATGCTATTTCTATGACTCAGAACCCATGATGCTGACGTCATAATGAAGCAATTATATAGCTGCACCAAGGCCCGCCTACTTGAGGTGGCTCGGGAATAACATGAATAATCAAGGATTTCTGATGATTCTAGCTCCTATTTTGTTTACATGCATTAAGGAATCTAGATACATATATGTCATAATCATTGTTTGATTTTTTTTACTTGTCGGGATAATCATTGTTTAATGAAAAAAATGATTTTGCAGACTTTGCGGGCAATGCCAGTAGTGGATCTAGAAACACCGACACTTTGTCTGGTTGGAGCTCCTAATGTGGGGAAGTCATCTTTGGTCCGTATACTCTCAACAGGAAAGCCTGAGGTATACATATGGACTGATTAGATGTATGTTGTTTGTTTAGCCACATAGGTTACATATAGTCTTTTGATCTGGAAAAATGTGTTCTGCTTTAATGAGAACATTTTTAGTGAAGCCAATTAGTGTTCTCTCTCTTACTTTTGTTGAAAATGTGAATCTTTTGAAATGAGCATTGAGAAGCTGGTATGGTCACAGTAGTAGTAGAGTCCTTTCCTACGTTTGATGTCATAGAAGAAGAACCAAGAAGGTTAATTTATCTGGGTTACTTCGAGGGAACCCTGGCCTCCTGTTACTCAAAGAGATTTTTAATTAGTCAGAAGATACTTTATATTCATAGCAGCTGGAATTTATAATGCTTACAGGTAACAGAATTAAAAAACAATTCAACATCTTAAGGCAATAAAATAGGAATAGACTCCATAACATCTTAACAAACTAGAAAACAAAACAGACTTCCCTTACTACTAGAACTGTCAAGCTGACTCTGTCTCTTTTATTTCACATCCTTCTGACTTGGTTTTCTTCCAAAAGGCCTCCTACTGCCACATACCACCCACACACTTCAATTGAAACATCCTTTCCCCCTTAAGTTCGGTCCTTGTCCTCAAGGACGTAATCAGGGAATTATCTCTTCATATTGTTCAAATCTTCCCAAGTGGCTTCAGATGGCGAAAGTCACTGCCAATGACCTAAAATTTCTTTCTTCCTCTTCTGCAGACGATGATCTAGAATTGCTTGAGGCCTTGGGGATTGCTGATCATCTTCTTTGGTTACCATGGGAAGCTAAGGTTGAACCATTACCTTGTCCCCAAGCTTTTTCTTAAGCAAAGACACATGAAACACCGGATGAATACGAGTTCCAGCAGGCAATTCTAACTTGTAGGCTACTGCCCCTATCCTTTTAAGCACCTTGAAGGAACCGTAGTACTTAGGAGATAGCTTGAGATTTTTTCTAAGGGATAAGGAAGCTTGCCTATATGGCTGAAGTTTGAGATATACCCAATCTCCCTCAGAAAACTCTCTCTCTGTATGCCGCGAATCATACACCATTTTCATTCTTGCTTGGGCCTCCTTGAGGTTCCCCTTTAATTCTTTGACAATTTGATCTCTATTTAACAATTCTTGCTCCAGGGCTTCCACTTTAGTTGTTCCTGGAATGTGAGATAGCAAGGTAGGAGGAGGGTGCCCATAAAAAACTTTGAATGGAGTCTTCTTAATTGAAGAGTGCCAGCTGATGTTGTAACAATACTCTGCCCAAGTTAACCACTTAACCCATTCTTTAGGTTGGCAGCTTGTGAAGCATCGCAGAGACAATCTCCATTGTTCGATTGACGACCTCACTTTGGCCATCAGTTTGTGGATGATAGGCTGAGCTATAGTTGAAACTAGTGCCGTTGAGGTGAAATAACTCAGACCAAAATCCACTTGTGAAGGTTGGATCCCTATCACATACTATAGTACTAGGCATGCCATGCAACTTGAAAACATAATCAAAAAATATTTGAGCAACAGTGGCAGCAGTGTATGGATGGGAGAGAGGAACGAAATGAGCATATTTTGATAAGCGGTCAACAACTGCTAATATTGTGGATTTTCCTTTTGACAGGGGTAATCCGTCTACAAAATCCATTGAGATATCATCCCGTACCTGGCTAGGGATTGGTAATGGTTGCAAAAGTCCAGCCCTCCATTGAGATATCAACCTTGTGACATTGGTAGGTGTTGCAAGCTCTAATAACTCCTTAATGTGCTGCCTCATTCCCTTCCAAATAAAATTTGACCGAATCCTGGGGAGAGTTTTCAGGTATCCCTCATGCGTACTATTGTGGAACTGACTGATAATGTCCTTAGTTAGTGGGGAGTCTTCAGGGAGGAAAATTCTTTCCTTGAAGAAGATTACTCCATCTTGAAGCTTCCAAGGTCCCACAGCTTCCCCCTCCTCAATAAGTTTGATCAATTGTTTCATCTTTAGGTTGGAGCTATGCACCTCCTTAATGGCCTCCACCCAATTTGGAATTGGGTGAGATACTGCTGCCAATTCCCCATTCCCCAGTTTCTTTTTCTTCCTTCCTTGACAGTATATCAGCTACCACATTCTCTTTCCCCTTTTTATACTCTATAACAAAATCAAACCCCTTTAATTTGTAAAGCCACCGTTGTTGAGCTGTTGTTGTAATTCTCTGAGACCATAAGTGCTTGAGACTCCTTTGGTCAGTTCTCACAAGGAATTGACCCCCAACAAGTACGGACGCCATTTTTGTACAGCTAACATTTCCTTCTCATAAGTGGAAAGAAGCAAATGTTTTCCTTGCAAAGCATGGCTGTAAAAAGCAATTGGTTGTTCTTCTTGCATTAGAACAGCTCCAATACCTGACCTGGAAGCATCACATTCGATGATGAACCTTTTCTCAAAATCAGGGAGTGCTAGAACCAGAGCCCTTGACATAGCTTCCTTTAATTTTAAAAATGCTTAATTCATGGCAGAACACCATGCAAAAGAATTCTTTTTTAACATTCGATTGAGTGGCCCAGCAATCTTCCCATAATCTTGAATGAATTTTCTGTAATATCCCATCAAGCTGAGAAATCCGTGCATGGCTTTGGGTGTGCTAGGTTTGGGCCATTCCATCATAACAGTAACCTTCTTAGGATCTACGACTACTCTTTTTCCAGTGATGACATGGCCCAGATACTTGACTTCTTTTTGGGCAAACTGGCATTTTTATTTCTTTACAAATAGTTTGTGCGATTTAAGAAGTGAGAAAGTAATTTCCAAATGACGAATATGGTCTTCCCAGGACTTGCTATATATCAAGATATCATCAAAAAACACAATTATGAACTTTCTTAAATATTCTTTAAATACCTCATTCATCAATGCTTGGAAGGTGGATGGCGCATTAGTAAGCCCAAATGGCATCACTAAGAATTCGTAATGCCCATGATGAATTCTGAAAGCTGTCTTCGAGAAATCTATCGAGAGCACCTTGATTTAATGAAACCCCGAACACAAATATAGCTTAGTGAAGAATATTGCACCATTCAATTCGTTCAATAACTCATCAATCACCGGGATGGGGAACTTATCTTTGATTGTGATTTTGTTGAGATAGCGATAGTCGATGCACAGTCACCATGAACCATCATGCTTTTTCACCAAGATGACTGGGGAGGAATATGGGCTATTGGTAGGGCGAACAATTCCAGCATCGAGCATCTCAGTTACTAATCGTTCAATCTCAGCCTTTTGATAATATGGATAGCGATATGGCTTTACACACACTGGACCACTCCCTGGAATCAATGGGATTCGGTGGTCATGCATGCGTGGAGGTGGCAATCCCCTGAGTTCTTCAAAAACGTCCATGAACCTGAGGATGAGCTGCTGCACATGCTGGTTGTTGGATACTCCATGGGATGGTGGGTGGGGTCCTTCAATTGTCCATAACTGGAGCAACATGCATGACTTGCTCTTCCTTGTCTCCCGATAGAATTTAAGGTCCCCAGTTACCTCATTTTTGGGGGCCGACAAGCCTTGTAATGTCACTTCCTTGTCATTGACTTGAAATTGCATCTGTAACTTGGAAAAATCCCAAATAATTGGGCCCAACATCCGTAACCATTGTGTCCCCAGCACTATATCATATCCTTCCAAAGGAAGCAAATAGAAATCCACAAAAAGGGGAACGCCTTGTACTGATTGCTTCACAGCAGTGCATTTACCCGAACTAGATTGTTTTTCTCCTGAAGCTACTGCAACTTCAAATCTACCTCCCAAAGCTGGTTGTAGGCCCACTCTTTTAGCCAATGCTTCACTCATGAAATTGTGAGTGCTCCTGGAGTCCACTAGCACAGTAGTTTCTACTTGACCAATGCTGCCTTTGATTCACATTGTTTCAGGTGCACGAGCACCAGAAATAGCATGAAATGAAATTTCTGGTACTTCCCCATTACTTGCTTCAACTGCATCTTCTTCTTCCATTACGACATCACCATCTTCCTCTTCCCGGCATGCTTTGAGAAAAAGTTTTTTACATCGGTGACCCAGATGGAATTTCTCGTTGCAATTATAACATAATCCTTTCTCGTGTCTCTCCTTCAACTCCTCTAGGGACATTTTTGTCACTGGAAGTGCAGACCTATTTTTGGTGGTGCCCTTACTTGGTGGAATGCCTCCCCTGACATCAACGGGCACAACTCTACGTTGGGACAAGTTGCGAGCTTCATATACTCAAGCTAAGCCAATTGCTGAAGATAAGGATATAGGCCTCCGAGCTAGAACATCGGCCTTGATGTTATCCTTTAAACCACTGACAAAACAACTCACTTAGCGGGCTTGTGGAAAGGGACCTGCTTTAGCAAGTAGCTTTTCAAATTGAATTTGATACTCCCATACCGATCCTGTTTGTTGAAGCTTGGTGAGCTTGCCAAAGAAATCATAGAATTGCGTAGGACCAAACCGAGAATGAAGTCCTTTGAATTCATCCCAAGAGACCACATCCATCTCTTGCTTGAGCAGTTGATTCCACAATTGAGCATCTCCCTCCAGATGAAACGATGCCAAGGAAACTCGTTCTGCTTCAGAAGTATCATGAAACTGGAAGAACTGCTCAGCACTACACACCCAACTTGTTGGGTCTTCTCCACCATTGATTCGTGGGAAGTCTAACTTTATTAGTTTAAGAGTGTATGAAGGATGAAAGTTGCTGTATTGCGCTCCTCCATTCCCACCTTGCCTTCCGCCACTGGTTCTGGGATGATTGGGGGAGTTTTCCCATACTTCACGAACAGGTTGTGCCACCGATTGTACTGCACGAGCACTCAACTTGTCGAACAGCTCTGTGATTTTATCCATGATCTGTTGTTGTCCAGTTACGAGAGAGCCCACTTTGTGCTCCAATTGTTCCACTTTCTGGTCCATTCCCAGGCTCTGATACCACTTTGGTATGGTCACAGTGGTAGTAGAGTCCTTTCCTACGTTTGATGTCATAGAAGAAGAACCAAGAAGGTTAATTTATCTGGGTTACTTTGAGGGAACCCTGGCCTCCTGTTACTCAAAGAGATTTTTAATTAGTCAGAAGATACTTTTTATTCATAGCAGCTGGAATTTATAATGCTTACAGGTAACAGAATTCAAAAGCAACTCAACATCTTAAGGCAATAAAATAGGAACAGACTCCATAACATCTTAACCAACTAGAAAACAAAACAGAATTCTCTTACTACTAGAACTGTCCAGCTGACTCAGTCTCTTTTATTTCACATCCTATTGGCTTGGTTTTCTTCCAAAAGGCCTCCTATTGCCACATACCACGCACACACTTCAATTGTAACAGAAGCCTTGGTCTTGAAATCGTGCTAAGCTTTGAAATGATGTGTTATTTTTTTCACATTGAACTTAGATATTTTCATGATATTTTGCCTTAAATTGCTTAACAAATGAAAGATGGTTTCAGGTTTGGTAATCCTGGTTCTGATCTGTCCTTTGGCTTCAACTAAAAAAGTTAATAAATGTACTAATCAAAAAAAAGTAATGAAGGTAGTTACGAGGTTCAAATGAATCGAAGTAAGATTTGTAGGAATACTCCCCCAAAAAGGAAAGGATCCATCTTCTCTTATCCAACAAAGTATGATTCAGGACAAGAGTATCAAGAATACCCAAGAGATAAGTGCACCAAGTTTGAATGAGTTGTGGATATGGGAGGATATGGAGCAAACTTTATATTGTGCATGACAACATTCTCTTGCCATCCCTCATGATTTTTGCCTCTTAGTCATAACTTGCAACTACTTGGGCAATCTTATTAACATAACACCACGAGGATTCTCATGAGCATGTCTAGAGGGCAGTACTCACTATTTTTAGGTTTAAAATTTTAGTTAATACCGTGTTTGATTGAGTTTTACAACTGAATTTAAACTATAATTATACTACACAGAACTGGCCTTCTCTTTTTGTGTGTTGAAAAGGAGTGGGGGGTTGCTATTGACGATTGTTTGTAGTTCAATATTCATAAGTGATTTTTATGCTGCCGTCTTTTTATGAATTTGATTTTTGCAGATGACTGATATTATTGTTTTTTATTTTTAACTTGGCTTAGGTTTGCAATTACCCTTTTACGACAAGAGGGATTCTAATGGGTCATATTGCTTTAAGCTATCAGAATTTTCAGGTAAACCATTTTTATTAGATGTAGATTTTGTTCAATTTATTTCTGTCATTTTATGTACTGTGAGAATTTGACTGCAGGTGACAGACACACCTGGTCTCCTGAGGCGACGTGATGGTAAGACCCTTTTCTTGGTAGGCTTTTATCTGATTAGTGTGTGTGTGTGTGTGTGAAGCAGGATGTGTTTTGAATGCTAAAGTTAATATTTTGTTGAGTGGTATTAATCATCTTACTTCTAAAGATTGATTAGTTGATGAGACTTATGTAACAGTCAATAGGGAAGCAAAGCTGCTCAGGTCTACTTGGGGCAAAAAATGGTCACCGGCAGTGAGGGCCATGTGGCCACCCTCAATTTTTTAAAATTATTATCATTGTATAGGTTTTAAGTATTTGTTGAGCATTTTTAATTATCCCCACCCTAATATTTATTAATACCAAGTAGGATAGATTAATAACTAATAACTTCTGGCTATGTTTTGGGCACATTATAGATGTATCCGGATAAGCTTAGGACATATTTTAGTCATCTGATTATGTTTAAAAGGATTATGGGGTTATTTTGTTGTCAAAAGAAAATTATTGTCGGTACATAAAAAAACTAGGGTCAACTTGAATTTACAAAATCAACCATGAAGCTTGTTTTACGATTCATTTTGTCCGATTAGTGATAAATGAATGACTAATAGCATGATTGTTTAGATAGAAATATAATTTTCCAATAACATCAATAATTAAGTTCTTATGCAACAATTTTGAAATATGAAAACTAATCAGGATCAATTTTAAATAGTTGTATTAAGCTTTAGTTTTTGTAAAGAGTTATCATTAATCTTTTTTGATATTTTTTACTTGCATACACTATGTATATTGGTTTTTCGGCCTTTTGCATTTATTGAATTTTTAAGTATCAAATATAATGTGATAAATATAAATGTGTTATGTCATTATTATTTATTATTGATTAGAAAAAAAAAAAAGAAAAACTTGTTAAAGTACCCATCCAGTAACTATTTTTTGACTCCACCCAAGAAAATGGTTATTAGTAAGTTAGTAGATTATGAAAATGCAACTAGTTATGATTTTACTTTTAGTTATTATAGTTTTATTTTGTGGCTAAAGTAGGCCTGTTAACGGATCAAATTTGTACTGGATTTGGGTCCATTTGAATCCGATTAAAAAATGTTACCAAATTCAATTTGTTTATCGATGAATATAAAAATATTAGTCATGAATAAAAAATCGAACAATGGGTCCAATTACATGATCCAATTTGTAATGATATTCTACAAAAAATTTAACAAATAATATTTTTTTAGATCAAATTCAAATAATCAATATACATATTTGTATATATTATCCGTATCGGATTTTTATCAGATCGGACTTGTATATATCTATATCTATATCTATAGCCGATTTAAGATATTTAAATGGATTCGGATAAACAAATGAAAATAATGGTCCCTATCCGATTAAACGAATTCAGATTGGATTCGGACTAAAATCTGGTCTATTGACTAGCCTAGTCTAAAGGGCATTATATAATGAGTCAAGTTGATTGCTCCATTGCTCAAGATGGGATTATTGGCAACATATTTTGGAACTATATTCCATCTAATATCCTTGAATGGGGTCTCTTTGGTCAACTCAAAATTTGGGTCCAATGTTGGATAAATAAGATAATCATTATGATTCCAATCGAGGAGAGATAACGGGCTTAAGAGTTCTTAGAATCAAAGCCCATCAGTAACTCTTTATGGCACTTAAATTTTATCACAACCAACCATACTATTACATGCAACACCATGCCTATATATATATCTCAACTGGTAAATTACTATGACACTCTTTTGCTTATTGATAATTTCAAGGGGTATCATTGTATTTTCTGAAATTACATCGACCCCTCATTAATTACCATTCTATCCATGAAAAGAATTGGAAAACCAAAATTTCCATTTGTATAATCCTCCCTTCCTAACACTCACAAAGGTTATAGTATCTTGCCTCCCACCATAGTTGTCAAATCGCGTATCAAAAGGCGTATCTTTTTTCAAAAATAGTGTATTATATCGTATCATGTATTATAAGATACATACAATTTTAAATAATTATTAATAAAATATATACACATTTTTATAAAAAAGTTATAGACTTATAATAACATAGCATTTCATTAATATTCCACCAACTATTCAAGTTCTCAACATAGTTAAGTAATATCAAAATGCAAAAATCTCTAATTCAATTTTCTTTGAATAGCCTTGATATTAATCAGGGATTTTGAATTCAATTGAACATTAGTAACAACAGATTTTATTTTATTTTTTAAACCATAACTACTGAAATAACGTTATTTCATTGGCTAGTGATTTAAAATTAAATTCTGCAGTGAAACGATGTCATTTCAATCGCAAAAAACAAAAAATAAAAAAAAAAATCTTCATGTATCTTAAGTATCGTATCGTATGTTGTACAATACGGTGTAAAAACGATATAGAGATACGATACGTATCGTTTTTCAGGTGTATCGTGACGGATCATATGATGCGTATCGTGTATCGTACGATATTAATAACTATGTCTCCTACCCAACCCATTAAACCCTCGTTTTCCCAAACTCCCCTTGGGCTATTGCCTCCTCCTTCTCTCGTCGAATCCCCTCTTGTCCCTTATTAGGCGTTCCTCAACCTCAGTCAAACCCCCTTCCAGTAACCTGTCCCCACTTTGGCTTTTCCTCCTACCTCATGTTGTTCCTTTGCCTTTTGCTTCTCCTATTGGCACCCGACCACCCCTAGACTATACATATATGGGTTTGGGTTTTGATATTATGGTTGGTTTTGGCTAGGGGAGATGGTGTTGCAGAAGATCACTCTGGGTTTGGGTTGGGGTTGTGGTGATTTTAGTCGTCTGATAGCGGGCGTAGAAAATGAGTTTGTGTTTCTATGGTTATAGTGTCGATGGTGGGGTGGAGTTATGTTGTTTGGGGAAGGTGAGTTGTAGCGTGGGCCACCATTGAGGTAGTTTCCACAGGGGGTAGGTAACTATTTTGTTCTTATTTTTATTTTTGTTATGTCGTATAATGGCCAATTCAGATAGCTGGTTCCTGACTGAATTCTTGGACGTTAGTGACACCAATCTCTCTTGGATGGTTTGCATGATGGTATGCGAGTGCGTTGCAATCTCTAAACTGTTCACTGAAAACTCTTTCGTTCCTCTCCTTCCAAAGAAGATAAACTCTTGTTGCAGGACTGAGTTTTCTTCCCCTGCCACTGTTGTGCTGCCAAATTGGTGAAGTCGAGACAGGACCTTGGCTACCATTTTATGAACCTGATGCATCATACCAGATCAGATTCTAGAAGCGTAATTACACTCAAAGAAGGGGTGATGGTGGGTTTCTAGAGTCTCTCGGCTTAGTATTGAATCCTATACCCCAAGTTTGCAGCATATGATTGATCTCTGTTTTGGTGCTAAATCTTAGTTTGATTGCTAGTCAAAGGACGAAACTCATTTGAGGAACTGATTCATTACACCAAAGCAGCTTATACCTGGGTGCCTGAGGTGATAATGCTCGGGTACCTGTGGTGATAATGCTCTCAATTGGTCCAGATCTATCATCACAGACCCTTAAATTGTTGTAGGGGCTGTTTTCTTGTGGTAGTAATTGTGAATGAGCAAGTAGGGGGCGAAAACTGAAGAGGTAGCATGACTGACTGCAATTGCTGGCATAGGTTGACTTTTTTTCATTTTGGTTACGGAAAGTGAAAGTCGTTTCCAAGCAGAACCAGCAGTTAACTTTTCCAATAACATTTGGGATCCACTTTGTTACGTATTATTTGGCGTTGTTGGGAAGGTAGCCAGGCACTGAATTAGTAATCTCTAGCATCTTGTCAGAGTTAGCATCGAGCTACTGCCACTGATTGTAAAACATAGTTCTGTTCAACCTTTCCTCTTTGGGTAGTTTAGATACCTAGATAATCCTGTTGTTCTTCCTGGAGGGGTGCCATAACAGTGTCGGACACATGTTCAACACTGCTAGAAGTGACCTGAATATTGAACTCAGTTGGACATGGCTAGGATATGGCCAAGATACGGCGAGGACACGACCAATAATTTTTTTTATTAAAAAAAACTTTTAACTATTAAAAGGGGTGTGATTTCTATTTTTTTTTAATATATTTTTTGTCATGTAACTTACATACTATGAATGTTAATTGATGTAATGATGTTTGATAAAAATGGTGGATATATATTTTGATCTATTTCAACTTTAATTAAAAACATAATATTTGTTTGGTCTTATTATTAATTTTGTTATATTACAATATATGCTTTATTTTTACAACTCTATTATTATTTAAAAATATATATTATATTATTTTAATAGTCGTATTCTTGCCATTTCTGTGTCCTATATTTTTCAACTTTGTTGTATCTCCATGTCCAACAGATTCTATATCAAGAGTAGATGTTCATTAGGAGGACAACAACCCACTGGTGAAAAAGAATGGTGATAAAATAAGGTAACGTTGGTTGAGATTGGTTTAGATGTGGGTTTAGATATGGTTTGAGGATGAGCATGTCACCAGGAAGGAGGTAGTGGACTGAACTTTGGAAAGGAGCAATGATGGGGAAAAAATGTGTGATAAGTAAGGAATGCCTGTGTTTTCAATGAAAGTGATAACTCTATTTTGTTTTTCGCATGGAAGCAGTATATTTTGTTGCTGGGAAAATAAAGCCATCTCATTATGAATCTTAATGTTTTGCCTTTTATGCCATACCTTCACTGTGGAGAAATAATTTGGCGTTCCAAATTCTGGGTAATTAAATATGGATTTTCCCAAATTTTCTTAGATCTGTGTTTCTGAGATGTATAAGCACATCTCTACTGATCAGAAAGATAAAAGAAAAAGCAACAGCCAAAATATGAAGAATTTTGAATGGCCGCAAAATTTCAGATTTTCACTTAGTCTGCTGAAGCCCATATTTATAAGTTCACCTGACTAAATAAGAGAACATTTCCAACGTAAGGTATGGTGTAGTCGCGTGTAGGTTCTATTTTGGTTCAATAACGTATAAGTTCTTATTGTACATCGAGTTTTTTTAGGGTTGTTAGTGTTGAAGGTAAGATGATATCAAAAGATATGACAAGAGGATTTGATGAGATCAACTCATCCGATTTTTGAGTTCTTGTTTATCTCATTTCAATGAGATGTGATTGTATGTTCACCCTATAAATAGGATGTGACCCATTTGTTCTAAGGACCAAAAATTAATTAGAAGATGTAGTCTATTAAGCTTCAGTCTGTGGATGTAGTAACCATTTAAATCTCCTCATATTCATTCTTGATCAATTGTTTTATATTTTTTATTTATCATGGTATCAGAGTGGGTCAATCAGACCTTGATCTCGCTTCCGTGATGTTCATTCCATGTGCTTATGTTTCTTGTATGCACAAAAGATCATTTCATTCACACAAAAATTGCAGGTTGGTTGTTATTACTTCAGCCTTTTAAGAAGAAGTTATCTGCTTCATTCAAGCTCATATTCGGGCGATTCTGATTGATTGTTATCAGCTTCACCTGTTTTAATATAGATGTTTGTTATCTACTTCACCAATTTCAAGGGGGTTGTTGTCAATAGGTCATTTCGTCTTCCAATTCAAGTCAGATGATGCATTTTGACATTTTCGTGCCCAACTTGAGAGGGAGTGTTGAAGATGAGATGATATAAAGAGATATGACAAGAGGATTTGATGAGATCAATTCATCCGAGTTATGAATTCTCGTTTATCTCATTTCAGTGAGGGGTAATTGTACGTTCACTCTATAAATAGGGTGACACATTTGTTCTAAACACAAACAAATGAACAATTAATGAGAAAATAAAGCCTATTAAGCCTCCCGTGGATGTAGGTCTTATGAATTGTGACCAAACCATGCAAATTCCCTCGTGTTCATTCTTGATCGATTTCTTTTTATATTCAATTTTATCACTTAGATCTGTACATTCACTCTTGTTGGGACTTCATTACATCTTATGTTTTTGAACTTGCAGAGGACCGGAATAATTTAGAAAAGTTGACTCTTGCTGTCCTTTCCCATTTACCAACTGCTATACTGTACGTTCATGACCTATCTGGAGAATGTGGGACCTCACCTTCTGATCAGGTATTATGTTTGCAAAATTTCCAAATGATGAGATAGTGGACCTTAAATTGGAGACAGGTTTGTCTAACATACATATGAGAGGTTTGGATTAGCAATTTTGGTTACAAATTATCGTTTAGAATAGTGAACTTACTTCTTAGCACACTAGTGTGGAAGTTGTCAGCAAGCATTGCTGGTAAACTCTCTGGGCAGTTTGTGACTGAGACCTCGGATCAAATCCCCACTATCATCTGGGTTGGGAAGGGCTTGAACGGGCCCGCGCCGCCAGTGTTTGGTGGGGTTGGGGTATCCTTGTTATGTAGCCGAACCACTGAATCAAAAATAAGTATATGGGTAAACATGCTCAGATTGTAAACATGCCTTTTTTGTATGCTAGAACTGTGCATTTTTTATTTAGTACACACATGCTGATATTTTCATAGAATGGAAAACTATATCGTCAGAGATGTCTTAAAGCTGGTTATCGTCATGGTACCCAATTGAATGTTTTTCAAGCTTCTGACAGAAACTAGAGACAATGAGATCGCTGTTGCATGTGTAATACCAGTGTCTAAGTTTTCATATTGATGTGACAATCTATTTTTATTTATTGCTGACACATTAGGTAATAGGGAATCATGACCTTGCAACTCACTAGACCAAACTTTCTAATATAGGTTGTATTTTGAATATGGCCCTTATGATTTAGCAGCTTCCACAACCAAAACATATTTTCTGACATTATCATGCGGGACATGGCAATCAAATTAATTTTATTAGCTTCATTCAGCCTCATGCATGGAACCGCCCTTTGATATTATTTGGTATATCATTGCTCTTGAGTTTGTAGATCTATGATTGAAGTAATGTATCGTGAGATCAAGGCTTATGTCTAGAAGCCTCTGAACTATATATATATAGCTGCTTGAGAAATTTTTTGGATATATGCACTGCTTCCTAGTAATATTAGAAATTACAAAACTTGAGTTAATTTTTTTTCAAATTGACAATATTTTCAATGTTGTAACCATGACCACTGGCTTTGGGACATTTTTGAGGATCCGCAAGCAGAATATGTGGCAATCAAACAAAGTTTTGTAGGGCTTTAGGACAAAAATATGAGTCCTAATATGGTATGTTAATGGATGGCAAGAGTTTTATTGTTATTTCCATTTGTTTTATGGATTGATGTAGCTTGTTAATAGGCATTGTGGCTTAAGGTAGAGTGAACTCTTAGGATGAACAAAATTGAAAGGATTTAACTATTTATATTTTTCCGGTATCCTCCTGCGCATTCATCTATTTTCTAATGAATATAATATTTTTAACCGTGGATTATGCAGTTTATTATCTACAAAGACATACGAGAAAGGTTTGGCGACCATCTTTGGCTTGACGTTGTCTCTAAATGTGATTTGTTGCAAGAATCTCCTGTTGTTTTCATCAAGGAAAATGATAAAAATGATCATATTGAGCTGGCAAATTACCTGAAAGTGGGCCTGATGGAGCTTTCCGTGTATCAGTAAAGAGTGAAGTGGGGCTTAATGAGGTTACCATTCTATGATCCTTATTACTTTTATTCCATAATACGTGTTTTGCTTTACTAACTTAAATGTACATCTCTGTTTTATCTGACAAGAGGCAAGGTGATTGGATAGACCTTCTGATGGGGATCGTGTAGGAATTTGATAGATATTTTAGATTAATCATGAGAATAATTTAGTATTTATTTTTCAAGTATTTTCTTTTAATTTTTAAGGGTTTAGTTGTCATTATGACTATTTATTTCTTTTAGAATTCGTTTAGGATTTGTGGTCTCCCTATATATATTGGAGATATGTTATTTGTTTTGGTAGACTTTGATTATTGATTATTGATATTGAATCTTCTTCCTAAAATTCTCTCTCTTTTCTCATCTCTAATTATTCCCTAATACGATCTACATCACCTTCCACAGGTGGTGTGGCGGTGGGAATTTGTGAAACGTATCCTGTGGTTCAGCAATGCTGTTTGAAAGTACAATTTTATGAATTGAATTGAACTAATAGTGGACATTTGATGCCATAATCTATGAAAAAATTTCATCCACTTTAGGTCCGGGTGCAACAAACATAATCTTTGGCATTATTTGCATAAATGGCTGCCCTCATACGCAAATCCACACCTTCAAGACTATTAGGTCCAATTTTAACTGTTGAACCAGTGGCTCCCTGTGAAGACCTAATTAGGTAAAGTTCGTGCCATACGCATATGTGCCTCCTTTTTCACACATAAGTGCATAAAGTGGCAATTCCTCATAGATTATCCCGATCTCTACGAATGGGATTTGAATGTTACAGGTAATGTTTCTTTTTCGAATGGTCCTTGGTAGGTCAAAGTTTGGAAGCTCCATTTGGTTAAACTAGTGGCCAAAACCTTAAAGAGGTGACAAATCACTAAGGATCATTATTAAACAAAAGTTTCTTCCAATAACTGAGTCTAGATAATAAAACTAGTCATCTCTTGGTTTTCAATCTTTGCTACCTCTCCGTTATTATTTCTGTTTTGAGTGAAAGTGCATTCATTATATTTAAATAAAGTCCAATTTACATAAATCCTTATTTCCACATTTCTTATTGAATTTTAGTTCTTGTTTTAGCGCCATCAATTAAAATAATATTGTTAAGAAAATGCACACACCATGTATTCTAACGGTGAATGTAATTCTAGTCAATTTATCCATGACTAGGGTAAAAAGATAAGGACTGAATACTGACCTTTTGTTTAATCCAATAGTGATTGGGAATTCACTTGTTTCACCTGGGATGATCTCATTGTATTAACACCACCATTGTATATATATTTTGTTACATCGATATATCTGTAAACAAATCACATCTTTAGAACCATATTAACCATATGAAGATCTATGTTTCTTCTTCTTGGTTGAACATAAATTATGTCCTCTACGATCTTGATACTTTTTTGTAAAATCAACCAATAAGATTTTTCTCCAATCAGTCAAGCCTTGGCCAATTTCATTTTCTTTAGTGCCAATTTTTATGTTGGACATCCTTATTCTACAAGAAAACTTTTTTCTCTGGTCTCCCGAAGATACCATATTCTTCACCCTCTAAACGACCAATATTGTTGCTTTCCAATATAGAAACTAGTCCAGAAAAGAGCTTTGTATGACATCATTATCAATCAATCATGGAGAGAATTTTGTTATATGCTTCATTTATTGGATGATTGTTCAGAGCCTTCTGGATCCTTCTAAATGTGTTCTGTATTTAGTAATATGGAGACCAAAACTTCATAGGTAGCGCCTTTGGTGAATGCTGAAAGAGAGCAGCCTAGTGCACTAGGGCGGGAGTTGGGGAAGGGCCAGATGTATGAAGTCTTACTTCGAATGCATAGAGGTTGTCATTGAACAAATTTTGACTTGTAATTTGGAAATGAAGAGAGAGAGGAAGTTAATACTTGTAATTGAACAGATTTTGATTTACATATTCTGTGGTAATTAGGAATAGAATCCATGGACACACAGTCTACCTGAGCTCTTGTGTTTTTACTTTGCTGAAAACATGTGCAAATTCCACAGAAACAATCTTATTCACCTAGGCAGCGCAGATTATCTCACGCTTCACCTTTTTTCTTAAAAAACAACTATTTTGTTTCGAATCACCTTCAAATATATTGGCCATTTCCCTGTTGAAATTTAGTAACTTGGGTTGGCATGCAAGATTTTCCTGATATACAATTCTGATGTTATGGTTCACATTTTGCAGCTGAAGAGTAGAGTGCATGAGCTGCTGGTATCCCAATCGGCTAGGATCAAAAGCCAAATGAGAAATAGTGAAACGCTAAAAGGTTCTTAACTAATTGATTCAGAAGTCCAGTTGTGGTGGAAAAATTTCATCGTCTTTGCAAACAAGTAATTGCAGTTGGGACCATTCCTGAAGATAACAAGCTGAAGCAGAAGCTGGCTGATCTACGTTGGTGTATATTTCATGTGCTGTTTTCCAACCAATACGAACACATTTGCCTCTCATCCTTTCTAGATTCAAGCATGGTGGCTAAGGTTGTTCCTAGTGTGGCTGAATACAGGGAGTAGAATCAGAATGTACCAACTTACTGTTTCCTTAAGTTATTGGTTTTCAAGTTAAACTCACCCTTTTAGCTTACGGCATTCTTATTCGGGTTGATGGAAAGGGGTTACCGTTTTATTCAGAGGCATGAACAGCAGTGCTGTGTAAAGGTAACAAACATACATTTCGGATCTTGTTAATCTCCTCCTTCACCAGACTAATGCCTTGCAGACTCAACTAAAGACTGTTGTTCCCATTGACCATTATAGAGTTTTTTAGTTTCGACTTCTGTTTGTTTGTGTCTCTGATTGCTTACTCTTGTAAATGATCCTTGTACGATAAATCCTTTGTAATCAGTTATTTTACTTGAGCTCAGCATGTATTGTGATTGCTTCTTAGGTTGTGGATTATCTGAATAAGAAAGATTAGACAATCAATTTACATTGGACTAGTGATCGTCGGGTTGAAAAATTATATATACGCAGCGTTGATTTTGGACCATTTCACATGTTTTTTGTATATGACACAATCTATTAACATTAATAATAATAAATGGGTTAGATTAGTGTTAAAACGCAAATAACATGAAATTGACATGATTATATCATTTAAATACTATATTATAAGAATAAAGTGTTAGTTTTTTATTATATTTTATGAAGTAGTGATTTAATTCTTATACAAAAAAAAAATATATTTTTACTCATTTTTATATTTATAAGTTAATTTTTAGTTTATAGAAAAAGTATGAGCATATGTTTGATTATATAGTAATAAAATTTTAAACAAAATTAAGCGTTAAATTTTTTAGTAAATGGGTTAATATGAACACAAGTTAGATTAGAGTTGATACATGTTCGATATGAACTCAAAATGATATAATACAACAAGATCGTTATCCCTAGTTCCGGTCTATTCATAAACCAGGGTTTAGGCCCCAACAAGTTATGTGATGCTTGCAAAAGAACCGAATAGTGTGTAAATTTTAATTTTACCCTAATTCAATTGAGAGAGAGAGAGAGAGATCATCGATGAGGAATTGGCAAAGCACATCATTATTACCAATAAAACACATTTATTCTCTTATCAAGGATCCGTCACATTGGTATAATGAATATAGAGGGAGCAAACCCCATCACAAAATTTAACTTTTCCTTGTTCAAATATAACTCTTTTAACAAAATAAACTTTAACCTTCTTAAGCAACAAACAGAGGATCGGACATGGTCCATGTAGGCTCGCATGACATAGTGGACTAATATGCAGCAATATATTATACCGCCTGCAAGAGCACTAGCTTGAATCAATGACTATATAGAAGTAATAAAGATACAAGTTTGACATTTGGTGCGTTTTCAACTCAAGAAGGGGGTGTTCAGTAGCTCAAACGACAACATGATATTTAACACCGCAGTGGAAATGTTTTTCTACAATATTTTAGTGGATAATAGAAACTAAAAAAAGGCAAAATTACCAACTGAATCACTAATTCGGGTCATCATTAAATCATTTGATATGATATTTGAGTACGTATGTATATAGGTTTATCCCGCATCTTTGTGAGGTTTCGATAGAAAGATTCCTCTATCAATGCAACACAGTCAACTCTATTTATTAGAACAGCTTCCGTTGTGTCTCTGCACCTATCATTTTGATTTTCTCTTTGTTTTTGAAAAATAGGATTTGTCTTAGGATTGCCCATTTTTATTAATTCCATGGAAGTTTGTCTTCCACATTTCAAATTCTACCATATCATCATCCCAACCACCGCTCCCAATATTACCATATTAACAGGACCCCCCCCCCCCCCCTTCTCTCTTCTTACAGGCTACAAGTCTCTTAGGAAATTCAAACAACAAAGCTTCAATCCAGAAACTTGCACCATGTGGAAATAACATAACATTGATTATTAACATTTCACTAGAATAACCACAACTCATAACCTTATGGATGAAGGTTTACCTCGTATTTGGCTGGGCTTGATAATTTCTTGGCTATAGTTGCAATACCTAGGCTGCAGCCTGCACCACATAGCATTACTATATTAATCTTTAGAAATTCAAGAAAAATAAAACAAGAGGAGAGCTCATGAATTCCGAAATTGGTGATGCATGGTTTAAAATAAATGTTCAGACATTACATACACTATTGCTTTTTTGTTAATCTGTTCCAAAACCAATCACAAGATGCCACACAATATTACTACAGTAATATCTGTCATTTGCCCTTTCTTTCAAGGGTCTCTACTATTTGTCCTTTCCTTAAAAAACCAGGGAAAATGGTGACTTGCCTGGAGATGTAACACCATAGTGATGGGGAAGGAAGCAGTTAAATTCTGTAACTGTTCCAAGTCACCTTTTTATTTAGGTGACCACATTTTTTCCTCGTTTCAAAGTGCGTAATTCGTAACTGTCAATTTACTGGTCAGATTGTAGCCAGTTCTAAAATTTCCAAACTTGCCCAACAGGAATTGCTCTGTTCCCCACTTGTATCCATTCTTCATTTTCCCCCCAATTCATTCATGGGGCTTTGAATTAGTTCGTTAAGCTAAATTATTATCAGCAAAGCTAAGAATTCTTCGTCCTTATATTCCATGGCAATAAAACACATTTTTCCTAAAGTGGATGTCATTGCAATGAGGAGGTCTTGACTCAAAGGATCCTCAAGCTGCAAGCTCTTAAAAGACATAGTCCTAGAAAAAAACAGAAAATTCACTTCGCATATATCTAGTGCTTACAGGAACATAGGACATTAATGAAGTAGGACCTGATGTCCCTTACAAATCCATACATCTCAGGACATTAAATTTAGCATCTAATTTACATTAAATTTAGAGAATAATACTGAATTTATCATTCAGAGGATAGTTTCCATGTTGCTGCTCCATGAAGAGTCATATTTTCTATTAAACCATAAGTTATCATATTTTTTTTATTATCTCTTTCAAAGTTAATTTTGGTCTACCTCTACTTCTCACATTACCGTCTACCTCTCACATTGCTGTCTGGGGAAACTGACATAACTTAATATTGTTCAAATTCTGTGAAGCATAACTATTTTCCTTTACCTTGTCATCTGATTCTGTTGGGGTGAAAACAGCTTTAACCGCTTCAAAAACTTCTCCAACAGGCTTCGCAGCGTCAATCTGAGGATGCCAGGGTGGAATTACATCAGAGGTTGCAATACAAATGCAGGAAAACTGTAGGAGGCAAATGGAATATTACCTTCCGAACCTTCCCATTAAGGCTGTAATACTCAATCACAGGGAGACTAGATTCCAAGAAAACCTTAAATCGCTTCCTTATTGTGTCAATGTTATCATCTTCCCTTCCCTTTATTGTCCCAAAAGAGAATAAGGAAAATGAAAATCACAGTTAAAATAATCTCAAAACAAGAATCATATTAAGAAACAGAAAAAGGATTTAAAAAAAATATTGGCGCAAAAACAAGTATAATTTCAAACAGCGGACATTAAAACATAACGGGGACAAAAAAACTAAGCACAAAAAAAAGTCATAAATCTAACCTGGTTGCGACTCAAAAGGCGCCTTTCCATCTCCTCTTCAGAACAATCGAAAAACAGAACAAATTCTGGCCCAATTCCAGTCTGTAAACCATCAACATTCATGGCAATTAACACAAGAAATCATTGACTAGTATTTTTAATGGAATTATCTGAACTGGCTATCACAGACCAAGAACTTGAACATACAACGCTGGCAAAAGTCAAGACTTGAAAAAAATATTACACACATAAAACTTACAACAGACTCAAATGCTGCACGATTTTCCTCGTTACGAGGAAAACCATCGATTAGAAATTTGTCATTGCTATTTTCCTGCATTGCTCGCTGGAGGAGTTTGATTGTCACCTCTGAAGGAACAATCTTTCCCTCCTTAATCATGTTCTGAATCATGGTCCTATAAATTATTAGAGAACCATAATTAGAAGCAAGGGGAAAAAATGGAATTCAACAAACGATCAGAACCCAGAGCTTATTAAGATAATATATGTTCTGAACTGACAGTAAAAGAATAATATTGAATCACACTAGATAGAGAAAACCAGCTTCTATAATGACCTATAACATCACATTCACATATGCAAACTAGGTCAAATTGACTTAACCTTTTGATTCATTGAATCAATGGACAAGCCTAAAGAAACGTGATGAAAATCTATGGTTGCGGATTCCCAGATTTCTACAGCCACTGTGAATGTGATGTTCTCTTAAGTCTGAACCCCCAAGTCCTTGTTCACAAGGATAAGTAAGTTCTTTTGTTTCCTTAAACAGCTCTTTGAACTGCGTTTGGTTGAATTAGGACATTGAGACAATTTCCAACACCAAGAAACAGCAATTACACCTGGTTATTTTGGCATCAATCCTGTTGACTCATAATAGTCCACTTGCAGAACAAATTCAGTAGAAACAATTAGCAATCCAGTTTTACAAGAAAATTTTCCTCTTGGAAGAAAGGAAAAGTTGACCAATGAGAGAGGTCTAAGCAATTTAGATTTCCTATTCAACTGAAACAATTGTCCCCAAAAAGAACTTGCAAAAAGACAGATAGCAAAAAGAAAGAGAAGACAGCTGCAAATAATTTATTGATCAGAAACTGTCCAATCATGTGAAATACTGGCCTTAGACATCCCGAACATGACACCAATCATTTGGGCAGCATCAACTCATTATGATACAGCTATGGAATCCTCACAAAGTACTAGAACAAGCTACATCAGTATCAACCTCCAGGACATGAGGAAAAGGTGAACGGAAACAAAATGTTAATGGTCATATATCAAGCAAAAATAATAACTTCAAATTATAGGTCCTTCAGTAAAAGGGTTGAGGGTTGAAACAAATGTATAACAGGAATTCTTGAAAATTAGTCCACAAAGGGTGTAGAAGAATGCATAGGAGATTACCTGTGCGTGTAATGGTATGCAAGATGCAGATTTCTTACAGAGAAAATGGACCAGAGGGGACAATACAAAATGGTAAACCTATTTTGTTTGATCATTCCAGGCTCAAGGAAAATAAGCGACATGCCCCATCTTCATTGGATATCATATAAAAAGAGAGGGCAAGCACCCATGAACATGGAATATATAATTGAAATGGAATCTGACAAGAGATTCTTATGAAGTAATAAATCTGTTCTCAAAGTAAACAAACTGAGGCACCGATAAGAGATGACAAGATCCCATTTATCTTTACTTTGCTTAAGAATCATAGAAACATAAGATCAAAAAAGCCATCCAATCATAAATTTTAGCCTATATTGATGATGGTAACCATTCGAGGATGGCTTTTCATGTTACACAAATGCCAAATGTACAAGGATGACCAACCAAGAGTTCATTCTTAGATTGATGGCTGGCGTGAGCTGAATATTTCTTAGAACTATCTAATATTGGGGCAAAACACGATTTATCGAATATACTCCTGTTGAATTTCCTGGAGAAATGTTAGTGAAAATTAAATAGGCAGATATGGTAAAAAGAGAATGTACCCATTTTCCGAACCAGATTTTATTTCTGCTCTGAGAAGATCACCAGCACTGAGATGGGTGTAGCCAAAGTGCTCTACGATATTTGCGCACTGGGTGCCCTTACCACTACCGGGGCCACCTATTCAATTTAAGGGGGAAAAGTAAATTCAGAAGTAAAAAATGCCCTTTAAATTCCAGAAAGTATCCATAAGTAGATTTATGAAGTGGCCCAGAAGCAAAAGTTCACCTCAAATATAACCAGAAAATAACAAGAAATTAAAACATCCACTGTTCTCTATTTTTGAGCATAAAAGCATTGCACGGTATGTTAGTATAACAGTATCTTTTGCAACCTAGAATGTGCTAATACTGTAAATACTAAATAGAGCAAATGAGTCTCAACAATTATTTGAGGAACAGTGTCCTGATGGGACCATAAAACCAGTATGGGAAGAATATAAAACCTCAGTGCATAGCAGCCTAGGTTGTTGAATCCTAAACAATTGGCACAATGATGATAACTCTGTGTAATACATATCTTAGAGAATCCTTCTATGATGTCGATCATTGGCAAGCCACAAGAAGGCTGACAGAATGATGAAGTTAGGGGGCTTCAATTAAAGTTTAGCTCCATTGCCGTTAGATAAGTTTGTGGGATGGCTCAAAAATCTGTTCAAGGTGTCAAAAAGTAACCTTTTCCATTTCCCCCGCCAAAAACAATCTTTCATTGGTTTTCCATTGGGAAGGTCAGAAGCATAACTTATAGTATTGTAAAATAACATCAGGTGTAAGAGTTGTCACGCTTACCTATGCCTATTGAAGGTTTTTTTGCATTTCCTTTAGCCACATCCATAGTTACAAACAAAAAGTTAGCATATCAACCACACATTTTACATGTCCATTAAAAATTACCAAATCAGAGATTTAAGGAAAATTACTAACCTAGCAAAATATATAAATCTAAACATGTGCAATAGAAAATGTTTTCATTAATTCTGTAGTAATCTTATCAAGGCAGTATCATTAGTAGCTTATGAGTGCAATATGAATATGTGTATTTGTCAGGCATTGGTTCTTAACTTACCATATTTTTAAACCTAATTTTTACCATATTTTTAAAGCTAATTCCCTCTCCACTATGATTTCTAACTTATTCCCAAGCTACTGTTTTTTTTTATTAAAGCGTAGTTTCAACCCACAATTTTCAATATAAAAACTTGTTTGCAAAACATACTTTTAAGGTGTTGTATTAAAAGCGTGTTTTGCAAACACGTTTTTACATTGAAAAACGTGAGTTCAAACCACGTTTTCATAGAAACAATGATAGTTTGGTAAACAAATTTAAAAAGAACAGTATTTGGGAAATAAAGTTAGAAAATTGCTGTAGAAATATTGTTTCAAAACGTTCAAAACGCTTGAAACGTTTCCATTTTCAAGGAGACTAAAATGAATCAGTGATGGAATCAAAATTTTAATATTTCGAGGTGTTCTACAATTTTTCGAAATGTTATATTTCAATATATTTGCACGATTATTACGGAATGTTTCAAGGTAGTTCAAGATATTTTAGTATATTTTGACCAATGTTTTGAACAAATAAGTCTTAAATTTTTTATTTTTTTCATTCTGTTTCCGAAACATATCGAAATGTTTCCATTTCCTAGGCGGCTTAAGCAATGCACCGAAACGAAATTTTGATCCTCGTCTTTGTGATGTTTATTACATCTCCTACAATGTCATCCTCATATAGCAAAACACAATATGCATCTTAAGACACTAGCAAATCATGATATATTTTGTTCGAGTATTTTTAGTTGTAGGGGTCCAAAGTCAGCCACGGATCACAGACAAACAAGAAAATTAAGCTTTTGAGGTTGAAGTAACAGTGTTTTTGTTTTGCTGGATCTTGTACTGAAATACCTTCTCACTTGAAGAATTGATTTCATCATATCTCTACTCTTTACAGTTACGAATTCATGCTTTTGCATTTTTTATTCAAGATTTTTGAACTTTGTCTTTGCATAGTGGGCCCATAGCATTTTTGTAAACTTGGTTGGATATTGCAAAAAGCTTCAATCCAGAAATATAAACATGTGCTACATATGCATCAAAGGTTTTCCTTATCTATTTCCACAGATGTAAAGAGAAACAAATACGATACACAATACAACACAACACGACAACACAATGCATGTTACAGAAATTATGGAAAAAAGAATCAAAAACACAGTAAATTATTCAACAACTAAGGCCTTAACACTCAATAAAGGAGAAATAAGAAGAAATGAAAATAACGTTCTTATTGTAATATATAAATGGTACACAATTAATATAATAGGAGTAGTGGAGTACAAGAAATAATAGTACAAATTCAGCTCTGAGTATATCCAATAATGTGTACAAGCTTCCACTAATTATATTTACTTCTTTAAAGATTCATGATTAGATACAGGAACCAAAAGCACTCACCCAGAACAAAAACAACCTTAACCTTCTTCTCAGTTAGTGAATTTCCATTTGCTACCTGCAATCAAATATATTCGTCAATTGATAATTTAGAGTAAATGGTGATGCGTGTGTCACTAATCAAATGGTGGAAGAACAGCTTGTAAGAGAAACCTTAAAGCCTAGAAGGACAGTCTTTAAAAATTTACTCGACAGCATGAGCAATATTGAAAGCTCTAATGATCCATTTTCTTGTTGATAGAGAAATTCAATCCGTACTCTATTCCTCTCAATTTTCTACTGGTCATCCAAATTTAAAATTACAGATTTTAACTTTTTTATATTACTCTCAGACCATCAATATGATTTTCTAAATTTCGTAAAACTGGCACCAAATTCAATAATAATATGCCAATTCTTTCAAAAATAATGAACTTCATCAAAAAATTCTCATGTGAGACAGGATTTTTTGAAATTACAGCTGAATTTTATCATTTGAATTTGTGCTATTTATATTCAACATCCGATTGAAATCTGTAGTTCACACAATTTGTACATAAATTCTGAAGAATTCAGAACCATGCACAGATTCATTTGAATTTCGATGAAGAGATATCCACTCAACATGGTTTGGTGTTAGTCTACAGCTTGACGAGCAGAAAAGTACATTTGACCATTAGACTTCCTGAAAAAACTCACGTGCCACTACAACTGATATAGTTTGGCCTGACATTAAATGAAGTGAATTCGGAAAAAGAGATATCATTCCTCTATCATCCCGATATGCATACAGATTGAATGTCACCAAGATATAGAAAACCTCACGTTGCAATCATGTCCTCCGAAAAGGAAAACTAGAGCTTTCCATAAAACATACAATTAGATTCCATCAACTCAAATAATGTAGAAGTCATTGATTGATCAAAGATTAATACCAAATATTTTGGGTTGCAAAGCGAAATGTTAGCCTGCATGCAACAAATTTCCTCTCTTAATGGGGGAAAAAAAACTTAATTATGCAGCCAGAACAAAAGTTTACCTTGTCTGCAGCATCGATAATAGTCCCCATGGGTGCCAATTAAATTATGTTTTGAATATATTCTCTGCACAGAACCCCGAATGCAAGTCAAAAAGAAACAAAGTTTCAGGACTGTGTAGATGCATTTTTCAAAAAATTTACTTCTGTCTGACCAAAAGATCTAAAATCCCAAACAATATATCTATGGTGGATATAGAAAAGACACCAGAGAGGACTATCGAAACTCTAGATCATTACTTCATTTATGACAGCTAAAACACGATATACATATAGTTAGATTACACTCATTTGGAACCAAAAAGGCTGCCTGGATGCCCCATTAAATTTAGTAAACATCATACAAAGTTGTTACCATAATCATCAAAAAGTAAAAAACTTTCACTAATCTGGACACAGTCCGAAATATTTTTCTGATGGCCACAGATTAAAATGCCATTAATTTCTACTTAATGTTATTAAGGTTTGAGACAAACCATGTAGGCCTTTATCGCTAATATCCTTAAACAACGATCTCATGTCAAATTACCCATTACACGCAATCAACTCGACCCAACGCCCAGTGCCCACGAGGACAAATAGAATGTAAAAACTATCAATTCAAATAGCAAAATGATCTGGTACTGAAAATAGGTGTATTTCATTGCTCTCAACAAAAGGCGCTGGCTCATCTGAAATCCAAATGCACCACAAAATGGGTTCATCCACATGCCAAACAACCAAGTTTATACACATATTGATTCCTCACATTATGAAGATATTCGGTACAACACCAAATATTCAACAGCAATCATACCAATTTGCACATGTATAACTTTAGGTTGCAAGCAAGAATCAAAGACTTAGATCTAAAAACATGATTCAATCCTGGTTTACAAGATCTGATAAAAAAAGGAAACCAGTGCGTCAAATTGAACGGAGATAAGTGAATTACAACCCAGATCGAAGAAAAATGCAAATTTTAAGCAATACAAGCTTGAAATTTTACTAGATCGAACTAGAAGTAAACCCAGTACAACATACTCAATATGACCACCAATTTCAAAAAGAACATACGCACATAAATATTTACATATAATGATCTATGAAATCCTGCAGATAATGCGATGAATTCCTCAAATTCAACACAAGAGGGACAATTTTTTAAATTCCTATCACTATAACTCGCTATTAAAAATTCAAAAATTCAATTTCAACAGATCTAATACACTTTGCACTCAGATCAACGCAAAACTGGAAACGCTGAGTTATGTAACCATCAAACTCATACCAAATTGCCAGGTTAAGACATGTCAGCATGAAATACATCAGAATTCAAACAGATAAAGCAAATGTGAGAAATAAACGCACGCAGAAGCATATAAAATAGAGCAATAGCATTGGATCCGGTGATAAAAGATTGCGCAGAACAAGATCTGAGACTCACCTGCTTGTATGAAATATGAACTAAGGAGAGAGATTTGGAAAGAGAGAGACAGAGAGATGAAGAAAGAAAGACAAGGTGCGAAGATTTCGTGCGTGGTGTTGCCCTTTTATAGGGAGACGAAGGAAGGAGGGTAAATCGTTGGTAACTGCTCTTTCTCTCTCTCTCCGTCTCTCTCCTCACATTCTATGGCGCTTCGGTCGGTAGGAGGGCATGTGGAGGAGCCTAAAGACGGAGTTGGCGTAATTTCAACGGCTAAACCGTTGGAAGTGGATCGGGTAAAGATGGTTCATATACCTGTTCACTGATTCAGATCCATTTATTTGACGGGTTTGTTTATTCATTACTCGTAAAATAAATAGATCCCTCGTGTTGGATTATGTATAAAATCACACCTTTATATCCGATGTTGTGCTTAATTGAGTACACTTGCAGGCCTGAGAATCCTCTGCTGTAATAGTAGATGTGTTGTTAAGCATCATGGTTAGTATGAAAACTTACGAGACTCTATTGTTTGAAAGAAAAAAAATTATAATAAATTTTTTTAATTATTTAAATTATTTTTAATTATATTAAATCGGTCTAAATAAAACAAAAATATGTATTATAATTGAAAGTTAAAAAATTTTAAAAAGTGACTCGTAACCTAATTTTGGGATAAACACCAGCACAAAGGTCTTTAGTCTAAAATATATAATTAACTAAATTCATACTAAGATTAATAATCAATAAAATATTTTTAAAAAATAAAGGTAAAATAAGAAGTTAGTTATAGATAAGGGTGTCAAATGTATCGGGTTGGATAATTTCGTATCGGGTTAATTTCGAGTTTATGTCGAAAATCTCAAAACTCGAACCTGACATATTTAATAATTGTGTCGAGATGTATAAACACTAATTTGATCTAGTCATTAAACAGGTTATCCGAACTCAACTTGTTTGACACGTTTAATAAACAAGTCATTTTCGAGTTAACACACAAAACATGATTTGTTTAACCAGTTTAACACATGTAACACAAATTTGTTTAACACACATAACATGTTTATTACCATTAAATACATAATTCAATCATTCATTCAAAACTTAAAATAATTTTTTCACCAATAACATATTACATTTCATTAATGAAATTAACTAAAATGTATTTAAGTTTCAAGCCAAAAATTAAAATAAGAAATATATTAGTACACTGTCATAGTAATGTTACAAATTATATTGTCAATTATCATAGTAAAAATAAAAATTAATATATAATAATATTAAGATTATATCAGTCATATATAATAGGCAAACTATACTGTCAGAAACGGGTTAAACGGGTCTATAGTGAATTAGGTTGGGTTCGTGTTCAAATCATGTCAATCCGTTTAAAATATACAAGTTAATCAAGTTAAAATCGGGTTGACTTGATTTTGACATGAACCAGACACAATTTTTTTTGTGTTTAAGCGTGTTGACCCATTTTAACTCATTGACTCGTTTAATTTCGTATCTAACCCATTAATTTCATGTTCGGTTCGTGTAGTGTTAACGTATCGTGTCGAAAATTAACAGTTTTGGTTATGATCACAATTTCTTGCATTTTCTCGTATTTTTTACAACAGAAAAAAGTTGATTAATTGTGAAAAAATTTAAACACGAAAGAAAATTATTTTTTATTTTTTATTCCATACTAATCAAACACATGAGAGAGTTGACTTTTAAATATAACGGTTTTTGGTTTTATCATAAAAAATAAAAAAAAAAGAAAGAAAGAAAGGAACGAAAAGGTGAACATCGGCATACATTCTTTTTCTTTTTTATATTCATTTCTCATTGGGTACTGTTATGAAGAGATTTCAAATTTAGAAATGAATTTCGACCATTCTATGTTTGTTTTTAACAATATCGTCTTCAATAATCTTTTATACATTTAATTTTATTTTTATTTTTGGAAAAAATAAGTTTTTTTTAACCAAAGTTGAAAGTTCATCCTAGTACTAAAAAAATTACAGAACAATCATTTTTTTAAGTTTACATTTAAGAAAAAAAAGAAAAGGACGTATCAACTAGTTCAAATCATATGATTGATACATTCTTTAAAAAATTCTTTATTTATTTACATATTTCATTATCATGACAACCCACAATCATTCACCCCACTCTAGTTTTTCCTTAGTAATTTCATTAGTTTTCGTACTATTTCTGAAATTATTTTCTTCACATGCATCATTATAAAGCAAAATTAATGCAATCAAATTCATGACAAAAACTACATTTTACTCTCTTTGGTACTTTGTATCATCTAATAGAGATCCTTCATCTTTGTTCAATATAGAGGAATGAAATGAATATTTGGAAATTTTGAAGCACAGTGTTTCAAATCTCTCCCAAAACAACTGATTAATCAAGAAGAAAACTTTGACCCTTGATGAATAGGAAATTATATTTATAAATTTGATGACGCATTGCATTCCCTTTTTGATGTACATTTTAGGATTAAGATCTTCTCCAATATATTTTTAACTTAATTTCTCTAAATATCTCAAACTATCTCATTTTGTTTGTTTGATCAGAATTATTAGAATATTTAGAATTGGGATCGGTGTTTTACTTTTTATTAGTAAAAATTACTATCCGTTTGACTTTTTCTGAGCGAATCCGATGATCCATCGGTATACCTTCTTGATTTTCTCATGATTGTTGTTCTAAATCAGTTATTAATTCGCATGATCATCAAAGGATTTTTTTTATTGATTTCTTTTATTTAAGTAGAGTTTTTTTCTAATTTTTTATCAGTAGGATCAATTACAATTACATTGAATAAAAAAAATCTAAAAAATTGTACGTTAGTATAGTTATTCCATTTAAACCTACCTGCCTTATAATCAAGTCACCAAATCATTTTTAAGGCGCCAGATTAAGGTTAACCACTGAGCTAGTGGTCCAATGACTTGCACTGTCTTATTCAGGGTCTTCTCTGACTCCCAAGAGATTAGAAAGCAAAGTTCGATTCACGAAAACTCCCATTATTCTCACTCACAACTTTGTAGTGTGGGGATTAGATTATAATTCAGGTCGATTTTTAAGAACGTTTTGTAATTTTTTGCTGTCTAGACCTAATTGGAGGGCTGCCCTCGTAGGTTTAGGCTCGGCAGAAAAACCGATGAACCTATAGTAAAAGTCTATAAAAGGAACCTTATATAACACTCAAAGTTGTTGCAGCTTCCTATGTGTGTTGGAGATTCAAAAATTGTGTTTTTGTTGTTCCGAGGTAGTTAGAAAATAATTTTTTTTTTCCAAAGTTGATTTTAAAATCATCATCTAAAATAAAATTTTCTTCATTATTTTTACAATATAATGTGTTATTTGAACTGGAGATTTCAAAAATGTCCTTTCATATAATGTCATTAAAAATATTAAAATTTAAGAATTAAATTTTTATTTTTTTTATTTTTCAACGGTCTGTAATGTCTGAATCAACTTACGCATATACAAAAATAGTGAATTTTTTTTTGTTTTCAATTCTTATGCCCCTCTTTTTCTTTCTCTTTTTTTTGTTGCGGGGAGGGGGGCAAAATTATAGGGGGACTTGAATGGATCTTGCAATATCCTGGTAATTCTCCAAGTGTTCCTGTCAAACGGTCTCCAATTCAATGGTGTTTAACATCAATTTAGCTAACCACAAGCTATCGTGGCCTAGTGGGGTTTGAAGCTCGAAGAGCCCCACTAGTTCTAGGGGTATTTAGAGATAGATTTAGGGATGTATATAGCCCTATCTATCCGTTCAAGATATTTGCTTGTATTGGTGTAACTTTGACTAATTTTCAAAATAATTTAATGAATTGTGATCATCTCAATTATACTTTCACTCAATTTTTACTAAACTAAGTGGTTTGTTATCTATATATGGTGAATGATCTACTATTAAGTGAAATTGAGTAAAATTATATTGTAGAGGGGTCAAATTCGAATTTGACGAACTTTTGGCAAAAAATATATTTTAGATAGGGGACTAGGAATAGGGTGGCACATACATTGGCTAAATAGAAAAGGTTTGATGCATAACATTTGAAATTCAGGAGAAGTAAGTGATAGATAATTTTATTTTTATTTTGAAAAAATTAATACTTGAATTGGAACGCAAAACGATCTATGACCTATTCGACGATTATCTCATTTGTACAATGATAATTGTTTCTTTATTTTATTTAAAAAAAAAATATGAAAGGACCATAGGATATGCAAAATATAATGCCCCATGATGTTGGGTCATTTTCACATGTTGCTAACCTTTGGGAGCATATGCTTTGAGTGTCCACATTCCAAGCAAATGAGTTTCATACTAGAATTTATTCCTTGATCTTTAGGAATAGGAACTAAAGTGCTTTGAGGTTCATTTGATATATTGCTTGGAGCTTCACTCTTTTGTCATTTTATTTACTATTTAGTAACACTTTCCTTTTTTTTTTCTTTTTTATGTTTTTGAAATACTTTTTTAAAGATATGTCGGATTATTTATTAGTATTTTTTTTTTCTTATCCTGACTTACTCCTGTTTTTCAAGTTTAATCATACATATAGCATATATATATGGGTAGGATTTTTATATTAAGATCCATATGGATAATTTTCGTTGTATGGTGATCAAATATATTTTTTTGTTTTTATGATAAACATATTTTTTTGCTTAAGGTTGAGTAGTATTGAAATACTTTTGTATAAAAATAGGATAATAGGACAAATACAATAAAGATATTTGTCAAAAAAGTCAATGAACTTTTACTTTTGAACTACATTGTTATATTTTTATCTGATTAAGGATATAATGTGAAAATTTAATCATCCAAGGTACAAATTAAAAATTCAAAAATTCTATAAAATACAAAATGTCATTCATCCATGAAAAAATAAATAAAACAAAACTACACGTTTTAGTAAATATTATTTCCTAAACTTTACTTCCAATTTTAATTTAGTCCAAGAAGTATCAATTGTCATGATTTTAGATTATGTTAGGGATGACTTATAAAATTCAAAAAGTACTTCTTAAATAAATATTTTATCAAAAGTACTTTCATTAAACAAACATTATTCGAATGCTCAAACAAAAAAACACTAACATAAAAAAGTGCTTTATTAAAAAGTGCATGGTGGTGGTGGTGGGATGACGACAACGGTGGGCAGTTACAATGATGAGAGTAATAATAGCAGTGAATAATGACAATGGTGGGGATAACTATAGTGGTTGTTGGAGAGCAGTGGTAGTGGGGTGGCAGTAACGACGGTGTCAAT